AAATAAAATTGTTTTAATTAAGTTTTAATGTACTCAACTGAGTCAATGAGTAAAAAAGTTGTTGTTGCATATAAGTAACTCAAAAAATGGTTTATTGTAGCATTCTACTTAAAGATCACTTTCATTAGGTAAAAATCTCGTAAAAAATCTCAAAGAATGCAGAAACTTTTTCAGTAATTTTTGTAAATTTTGAAACTATTCAAAAAATGTCAAAGAAATCTAAAGTTGTGAAACATAAACTATTGCTATTAAAATTTTTCATAAGTACTAAAAAGATCATATTTTTAATATTTCTTATGATTCTTGCTAACTTTTACGATAGATCCTAAAATATTTCGATCGGTATTTCATCTATTTTAAATTTGTAAATTCTTAATTATAGTATCCAAATGAAACTTTAAAAAATGCAACACGTTTATGCATGTCACAATCGCTATCTCCGAAAGCAAAAAAATTGATAGCTTCTAAGCATCTATTAAGTTAGTATCCAAGCAAACCCAATTATCTCGTAAATGAGCCAGCGTGTATTTAGCGTGCTGTCACTTAGAGACGTTACAAGTTGGAAATTGCTGAATTAGATTTTTGGCGCTGATACGCTCATCTAAGCTATACATGTAATATCATTACACTCGAGTACCAAAATCGTAAAGTCTAAAGCAAACACGACAATTTATCAAAGATGTGATTCATCAGGGAGGTAGCAGCAGCAATGTACGCGAATCTAATTTTATCAGAATGTTTTAAATTAACCGTATATCATGTAGTTCGAAAATAGAGCAGATACAAGTTTATTGTATCAACCGTAAGTATACGTGATTTAAAGGATATGTAATCGCATTAGATAATTACTCGCTGAATCAATTAGTATTTTATATCAGTGGTTTATTGTTAAAACTTATTTTCTTAAAAGCTTCACATTAAATGAAGCACTAACTTTCACTTAGAAATATTCTTGGAATAGAAGTCACTTAGTTTATTGCCTGATAGTTTTACGTTTAACGGCGTCACGCAAAAAATTGGCAGGTTAACGGGTACATTCATCGATCGAGTTCAAAACAACAACTTAGCACTTTCTAAACAACAGAGTAAAAAAAAGTTTTCTAGAGATAAATTGGTCCGACACGATAACAATAAAAAAACTAGTAGTAAACGAGAAATAAATACAGACACAACAGAGCATCTGCAATTCTAACGTCGGGCGTCGAATGTACATACCATTCACGTAAAACCGTAGTGTATTTGCCGTGGAAATGAGAAGAGTGATGTCGTTGAAACGGGTTACGATAAAAGATTCCGTTTGCAAAATGTTCTCCAAATGTCTCCGCAGCGTGGAATTACACGTGCCCAACATTCTGTCCACGTGCTCTCGCTCTTACATTCAATTTTCGTCCGTTTGTGCCTCCATTAGTAGCCGAATCAACGTGAGCTTCAATTAACTTGGCTCTTTCCATTCGCGACGATTTAGAGAGTATTCGAACGAAGTAACGCAAAAAAAGAAAACTCGAGAATGTCCACTTGGTAAAATAGCGTTAAGTGTGCTTGAGTAAATTAGTAAATACACTTTCAGAATAATGTTTTCATACACTTGTTAGTGTTATGAGCATTTCTTTTTGTTCGGTAGACTGTAATTTAAACAAATAGAGAGCGCGGCAAAAAAAACATAAACAAAAAAAAATAATACAACGCTCAGTCGCACGAGAAAAGTCACACGAGTGAAGTAATTTACAAACAGCGACCTGACCCTGCAATCAACCATGTCCTGATTAGAATAGCAATAAAGTCACGCACGCGAATATGAAGGAGAAAAGTTGGCGATTTTTATTCATTCAATGCACACGCAAAAGCACCTTCGACTCGTCGATATGCTTTGTTAGATTATCTGCAAATCTAATCTCGCTTGAACTTGTACTATTTCACGAGAGCTCGTATCTCCTCATCGAATCTACTGTATAGGACTTCGTCATTGTTTACATTTCTCTCTGACGTATATACTTATTATGTCATAACGAGTGTTTGGAAAAAAGACTTACATTTAGCGTACAGGAACCGTACTCGTCGGGAATGAAATTGAACCATGTTCGCGGGCTATGAATCAACCACGAGCTCATTCTATTGATCAGCGGTCACTATCTTCAATTGCACTCGCGCTCTCTCGTATTACGTAACACTTGATATTCCACTGTTTCTCGCCGCTTGTGCATTCGTTCGATCGATACAGGACGCTTCCCTGTGATGCGCCGTGCGAGGCAACAACCGCCGACGACTAAGTGAAAACGACAGCTTATATGTCGTCTGACTGTGCGACAGTCTGTTTGTATACAGCGTGGAATTGTTTACGACTCTATTGAGAATTTCCGATTTACAATATGCTAACACGTTTTTCGGACAGCCGATTGATATACGCTTCTGCTTGCGCCAACTTGACAACTTTCATTTATCAGTTTCTTCGGGACGTTTACGATGAAGTCCTCTCTTTTTTGTGGCGTATTTCTGTCAGCTGTGAAACGTATTCTTTTTTTTTTTTTTTTATTGCTATATTTTCATTTCTTAAACAGTCGCTCGCGGTCAAAGGAATTTCAAATTTATCGCTTTTTTTGAAGGTCGAGTATAATCGCACGGTGTAAAAATGTAGTTTTTATCATTCTATAACTAATGAGATATAACATTTCCGTATGTTCGAAAAAAAAAAAACGTTTATTGTAATTGACCAATAACCCATATAGAACAGTTCGTAAGCTCCACTCGTAAAATCATCGCTCACACGCACGCACGCACGCACGCGCGCACAGGCACACACACACACACAAAAGAAAAAAAAACAAGAATCCTATTATCAGTGTCATCCTGCATGTCTTTGGGTTTTCTGCTTCGTCGTTAAAACTGCATGCTCGCTATCTCGCCGTGTGGCTTTTGCGTGCGGTTTCATCAAAATAACATCACGCGTTTGGCATCGCATCGCCACAAAATTCGTCGCACGTTTCGTGTCAAGGTTATATAGCAATAATATAATTGCAGAGATCATTCTTCTGCCCCCCTCCCCCGCCCTCGCCACGTTGTTAAAAGTATGCGTGGTTTTTACCTCTATAATACGGAAATGAAACTTGGCCTTCGCCGTGATATCGATCGCACTCATACCGGGACACACCAGAGCTTTTTCCTTTGGTAAATGCACGTTACACACTGATCTACACTTTTGCTCGTCTTTTTTCTCTCTCTTCACGCTCGTACTGAAGACAAATCAGCTTTTCCAGGCGATAAGATAAGAACCGTTGCCTGGCCCGGCTGTATTATGCAGGATAATTAAGTGATCTATTCTATCTGTGTGTCACTAGGTTACGACATGGGTTTTTTATATCTCTTAATTTTGTTGTTCTTCTTTATGACTCTTCTATCAATTAAAATAACTTCTCGTTCAACTAACCAGGGATTCTTGGAAGTTTAAGCTATGGACTTGTGTCTTTTTTGTTTGTCAGCTTATTATGCATATGAGAAATTCTTGATCGAATTCGTCAAAAAAGGCAAAGGTGTTACTCAATTTATAAAGAAAAAAAATAAACGCTTTAATAATTTTCTTCGGCTATCGACAACTATATAGTTTCCTTCCGTTTTAATTTAGAATCCATGAGACTTATAATAATATTATTGAAAATTTGGCATAGGCGATGCTCAACTGACTCATATCCGGCCATTTTCATCAATAGGAAATGAAATTTCATCTTATAATGACATCAAAGTCACGTGTCCTTTTTTATTCGTTTCATTGATATAATAACTTTTGAATAGTTAATGTTTTTCTAAAAGAATAATTTTTATGCAATATTTTTTCGTTATTAATAATCGATCGAAATAAATAACGAAATAATTATATTGATAAACATGGTACTTTTGGAATTATCTTATGACGATATAATAGTTCTAATGCCTCTAACAATTTACATTAACTACAAAGTGAACTCAAAGATAACCATGAATCGGAATGAGTATCGATCCTTCGGGTGCAACGTATATAGATACCACGGGATGCACTGTGATTTCATAAATTTATGTAATTCAATGAAAATGATAAGATTCTCTTTTGAAAAATCACAATAATTATTCCGATAAAAATACATACGTTTAGATGAGCTTATATGATATCTTTTCGAAGTTGCATTAGCAGAAAATAGATTCTAAAAACAAGCGACTCTTAGAAGTTTTTGATTACGAAATTCCGTGTCGCAAGTTTTCAACGTGTTATAAAGTTCTTGTTGCATTATTTAAAATATTAATGTTTTGGCATGTTTTTTCAAGACAATACATCGAATTTTCTCACATAAAATATAGTTAATGTCGAGATTAATGCAAATTTAAGAACAAATTTTACCTCGAATTTTACAATCAGTGTAGTTTTTTCACTAAAATGCGCAATAAAATTTTATTTATTAAACATTTGAAGAGTACTTTTTGTTCACAGTTTATCGATTTTAAAAATTTTATTATTAATTCATAACAGTCTAATTAAATTATTAACTTGTTTGTTTTCCGATCAGTGCCATGAAAAATTCTAGATACGACGATATGAGTTACAAGTAAGGAAAACAAAGTTTCAAAACAGAATAATGTTTATTTATCAATGATTATAGTTAAATTCAAACGACTGATCAACGTGGAAAAATTGACACAGTAACCTCAAAAAAAGGTCACCAAATACAAGAAAAAATCTCACTGTTCCAATGACAGTCTGGAAGTGTGTAAAATTCGTGGGAAAAAGAGCACGTTATAATGTAAAAAATACCAATTATAGCACGACAAAAAACAAAATAAAAATAAGAATATGAACGTACGTGGTCACACACAGAGAAAAAAAAACGTAAAAAATTATTAAATCATTGGTCGATAAAATTCATATGAATAAGAAAATAAAACAAAAATAATAGGAAAAATAATAAAGTGACAATGCAGTGATAAAACTAGAGAAAATGAAACTGCAATGCACTTCAATGGGTTAAACTCACCTAACGGCAGAAGCTCGTTCTTCTGGGCAGCGTGTAGTAGTAACACTTGCCTGGCATAACCGTTTTTCTAAGGCGCTTTCCCTTTCGTCGCTTCCTCTATCTTCACTTCTCTTCGCTACGCTGCTCCTGCAGTCGTAACGAAAAGAAAAGCGTGTTGCTGTGATTATCACCAAGTCACATTTCACTCACATAGCACAATAAAGGAGCACTACTTTTTTTATGATTTGCACCTCGTGTGTATCCTGATGAGTTGAAGTAAAAAAGAGGGGGATGTGCACTGCTACAATGTCTTGCACGCGCGCTGTTCACTTAGTGTATGAAGCGAACTTAATGGGTAGATATTGTTTTTTCCTTCGTTTACTCTCTTTGTTCGCGCTCCAAAATACTGCACTCAGAATAAGTCTCTTTCTCGCCTTGCGGCTGCATCCGCAGAAACCAAGAGCAACGAAAGAGAGAGCGAGAGAGGGAAATGAAAGAAAGTTGATACACGCCGCGAGGGGGCGTTCGTATCGACGATCAGCTGATGCATTGGGTTCGATGCGCAGGTATTGGCGCATGCTGACATTGTTGACTCTGTTTTTAGACTGCACCACGTGTTTCTTTTATTTCGTTCCGTTCGGTGCGCTATTTGATTTGTTTTTGTTCATTCAACTGTTGTTTTTCTTGTTATTCTTGATAGTGTGTGTAACTTTTTCTTTAGAGTAATAGATTTATTTACAAAAGAAAATTTTTTTTTATTTAAGATGTTTTAACTTGCTGTGACTCAAAATAGCATTCTATTTATTTAATTTTTATTTTATTTGATAATAATGATTTAAAAATATATTTATGTTCTGATAATTATTCAATATTAATTAAATGACATTACTATTGTTATTAGTTATTGAGATTTATAAGTTTGATTTTTTATAAAGCCAGTAACTCATCAAGATGCCTGCTAAATCACTGACTTGTTTGTGTGTTATTTCAGGTATTTTACAGTACAAAAGTATTCTGAATATTCAAAGATGACAACTGTGACTAAGAGCCTACCTCAAAAAAAATATTACAGGCAGCGGGCTCATTCAAATCCTATTGCAGATCATTGCATTGAATAGTAAATTTTCAAGTTTTTATGCATTTCAAACAGTGTAATTTATTGTAATAATTTTTTACAGCCCGATCAAACCAGATGCTATGGACTGGAGCACATTGTATCCGCATTTTGTTGATACTAGTAATGCAAGCAGTAAAATTAAACAATTGACTAAACCTATAGAATTTGCAGATATTGGCTGTGGCTATGGTGGCCTGCTAGGTAACTTCTTAAATTTTTTATATATACAATAGCGTTAATTCAGTTTTGTTAATCTATATATTTCTACAGTCACTCTATCTCCAATGTTTCCCGACAACTTAATTGTAGGAATGGAAATCAGAGTTAAAGTTTCTGATTACGTCATAGATAGAATAGGTGCACTACGTTGTCAATATCCAAATCAATACACAAATATTGCTTGTGTCAGAACTAATGCCATGAAATATTTACCAAATTACTTTCATAAAGGACAGCTTAAGAAAATGTTTTTTCTGTACCCTGATCCACATTTCAAAAAAGCTAAATATAAGTGGCGCATAATCAATAAATCTCTTTTAGCAGAATATGCATATATCCTAGCTGAAGGTGTGAGTAAATTTAAAATAGCATTAACAATTAATTTAGATTATTTGATTGTTAATTTTTTACCCGTGACTCAGGCAATTGTGTACACAATGACTGATGTTAAAGATTTGCATGAATGGATGGTACAGCATCTAACAGAACACCCTTTATTTGAACGTATACCAGATGACCAATTGGTAAAATAATATATACTTATTTAATTAATTAACATTCCTGAAAAGTATGAAAAAAAATATTTGTTTCTTTTTAGAGTTCAGATCCCATTGTTGAAAAGCTATATGAAAGTACTGAAGAAGGGCAAAAAGTCACTAGAAATAAAGGACATAAATTTTTAGCAGTATTTCAAAGAATTTCAGATCCTTATTTAGTTAATAATAGATAGTAAATGTATATTACATTATTGTTTCATAAATAGTAGATTACAATCCAAGATTGGAAAAGTATTGACAAGACCGGGACAGCATTGTCAAGATTTGCCAATATTTTCCCGGCCTAGGCACGAAATCTATTGATAAAATTTAAAAAATATGACATTTTTTAATAACCATTATATCTTCAGAAAAATAAGTATTAAAAATCGAGTTTTATTTGAGTGTGTAGTCAAATTGGTACCCCTTATAAATTATCAAAAATCAAATATTCAATTTAAAAAAATTTATTATGACAATTAGAATTTATACAATTGAGATCAATGTATAAAAAATTCATATTTTTATAGTGTTTAAAACTATAATTTCTCAAAAACAATCTTTGAGCTTCAACTCGACACTTCCACAAAATAAATAACTTCTTCACCTATTTGATAAGTCTTATTTTCAATACTCACACTGACAGTTCCCTTTTCTAAGTCAGTTAAAAATACTGCATTGTTGGGTATTTTTTGTTTATTCAATAAAATATTTTCGGCTGTAGGAATTGATCGAGGTCCCATTACAGGATCCTTATACATGTACAATGCAATAGTAGTAACATCTGAAATAAAGTTAAAAAGCCCAATCATTTTAATACATCATAATTTTATAAGCGAACATGAGTACTATTCCGTCTTATTATTTTATTTACACTCACCCTTTATGCTTTTATTCTTTGCAAGTTTGAAAATAACTTGTTTTGCGGTTTCATTTTGGCTTACTTTAAGAGTTGTTTCAAATAAAGCATAACTTATTTGTGGATTTACAAACTTTAAAAATACACCTATAAAAATTTATTTTTGATTAAAAAGTAAACAAATTTGAATGTAAAACTTAATATAAATATGAAATTTTGATATTTCATATATTGAAAACATTAAACATATGCTGAATATAATTAAAATTAAGTGAATTTCCAACTCTCACTATTTCCGTTCTTTCCATTATTACAAATTTTATCATTTATTTAATACATATATATTTTTGTCCAACGGCTCGAAAGTGATTATCCCGGCCGCGGTTTGGCCGGTAATATGCTAATTTAGAATCGCCGAGCAAAACAATAGTACACGTACAATAGCCGGGAAATTGACAAGCCCTTTTCAGGTAATTGACAACCTCAGTTTTGCCTCGGTTATCAATTCTCATGTGCTATGAACTTACTAATACTTTCTCGACTAGGTGCGTAATTTACAATTACCTGGTTTTACAGAATAACCAATAAATGGAGCACCAGGACAACATTCTTCCCTTGTCTTATCATCCGCTTCATCTGCATATTTGATATCTAAATCTTCGAGCTAAAAATAATTATAAATTAAAATCTAAGTCATTTTCTGAGTTTAGGATCAAGTACGATAACTTACATCAAGTGTATTACGAAGATATTCCTTGCTACCAATCAGTACATCATATTCGTTAAAATCTAATGTTAAATTAAGAGCACCAATACCAACGATTGCCATTTTCTCTCTTGTCATTTGAACAAAAGGCATAGTCCTCTTACTATACTTTTTCAATTCTGCTTTCTTTCCTAGTTCAGCAGCAATAACTTTGTTTTCTGGAAGACTGTTTTTGTTTTTCTAAAAGAAATATATTAACATTAAAATCGTGTTAAATAAAATAATGTAAATTATAACAAAACTTACAGTATACAATTCTTTCATGATTGTGAGAACTAAGCTCTGCCAAATAGGCCAGGTTTTAGCAACGTAAATTACACCACAAGTTGGTTTTTCTATTGGAGTTGCAGAATCTTTTTGTGACTTTTTTATTTTTACCGTTGTATGATTTATTAAGCGTACTCTAAATGAATGAGCTGCATCCATCAAATAATGAGATGACTGAATCAAAATTTTATCAATTTCACCTACAGTAGGCCAGCTTGCATTTAGTACGCTGCCTTTCTATAATTTTAATTAAATTTGGTTTTTTAACATACATATGATCTATTTTTATAAAATTACAGTGTTCGATTAATACCTTTCCAATTAAAGCCCACACATGTTCTGCCACATGCGGACAAATCGGCGTTAACAGGATTGCTTGTATTTCAATGAATCGCATCAACAAGTCATAATTAATACCATCTAAAGCACTTAATTGTAAATATTTATCCTTAGCTGACTGGAATTCATAGAATCCAGTTCTCAATGCTTCCTTGTAAAGCATCTTTGCATAATTGTCACCTGTTTCTTTTATTTTTAAATTAATTTCACTACAAAGAAAACAATTAGTCAAAAAAGTCCATGACGATTCTTGTTATTATGTCGAATAAATGTTATTATGTCAAATAAATGAAACTTCTTTTTATACCTATCAAAAACTCGATCATTAAATGTATTGGGCTTTCCTTTACGGAATAAACTTGGCGCAGAAATCACAATGTCCTTTACCCATTCAATAAATGTATAAAGTCTGAGTATACCAGCATCAGCAGTGCGTTCTACGAAATTAGCATCCTCCACAGAATCTCCTGAATCAGCTAAGCATAGACGAGTACCATCGGCAGAATACTGTTTAATTGCTTCACTAAGCGTTAAAAAGTTACCCTCAGACTTTGACATCTGCATTAAGAATTAGGAAAATTCTTTTGTTATATAAAATAACTTTTATAACTTAGATAATTTTTTTTGTTACTATTGTTATTATCTCATTATTATTATTGTTATTATTATTGTTTTACCTTAGATGAATTTAGAAGGAGGTGACCATTAGCTCGAATTCCCTTAGGCCACATGTCTGGTTGATTTGGCCATATGGCAGTGTGATTATAAATAAAGAATGTTAAATGGTTTTGAATAAGATCTTTTCCAGAGACACGTAAATCGACTGGATACCAGTATTGAAACTCTTGTCTCATTAATTCAAGCGATTGCTTTGAAATTTTGCAAGTTTTAGGTGAGGGCAGCTTTGCATCCTTAAAGAAAATATAATCCCACACTTCAGAAGTCATATCTTCAGCTCTAAGAAAAGATAATAAATTATATTTTGTAATAAGTTAATGTTTTTTAGATCATATAGACTTACTTAATATTTAATGTATTTGGTTTGTTTCCTCTGAAACTATTTCCCTGAATCAAATGAGCTACAGTGTAAAACGCCATATAGATAGTTGAATCTGACAATGATTCAATTAACCACTGTTGATCCCAAGGTAACTTAGTACCTAAAAGGTATTTACAAAAAGACATTTAAAAAATTTTTTTCAACACAAAATAGAAAATTTTTTATAAAATGTCAAATAAACTTACCGAGACCATAAGTTCTTGAGCACGCATACTCGTGAAGCCAATCAAGGCATGCTTGGAAATTTTTTCTCACTTCGTCATGGAATGTTTCTAAATTTTCTAGAGATTTTTCAGTCACCTTTCGCCACTCAGGTTCCCCATAGTTCAAGTACCATTGGTCACAAAGAGCAACTACACACTCATCTCCGGAACGAGATATAATGGTTTTTTCAGGTTCGTAGTAGATTACAGCTTCATTCTTACTGATCATATCATCTCTGATGTCTTTCTTAACATCTTGAATCTTTTTATTCTTATATTCTCCAACCAGAAGTACACCCTCATAGAAACCTTTTAAGTAAACGATTTCTTTGGCCTGCTGTAATTTTGCAGAATCATTTTGAGACTGAATGTTCAGTTGTTCATAAACTTTAACAGCTGCCAAATTTCCAAGTTCAGGGATTTCAAGAATTGGAATCTAGAAAAAAATATTAAAATTGTTAAAATCTGATGAAATTTCTATTAAAATTGAGTTTTACTGCTTCTGACACATACTGGTTCATATGGTAAAACCATATGATCTTTAATACCATATTTTTCCCTGAGTGGTTGTTTCTTCTTCAAATCAACAAGTGCTGCATAATCGTCTGGGGAGTCACTTGGTACAGATGTAACAATACCAGTACCCTTATCTTCTTTGATAGTAAGCATAGGCAGGGTATAAATTACATCAAAAGATGTTTTTGGTGATTTCAGAGATACTCCCATAACATCCTGAAAAGTTTTGGATATTTGTGAATTAATAATAATTTTTGGTTTTTTGCAATGTAATACTATTGCAAAAATACAAACTTACAGTTCCAACTAATTCTGCTATGACATGAACTTTACCTTCTTCTTCTGTAATATTTTGCCATGACATATTTTTTGCTGCTCTTTTAGTACATATGAAGATTTCATTGTTTACAGTTATGAAAGCAATGTAGCGCATATCTGGACGAACCCAACAATTAGTTTGACCATACATTGTTTCTGGTCTGAGGGTAGCTGCTACTAAAAAGATTGGCTTTTCTGAAAATTTTCTAAAAAATAATTTATTAAAAAATGTATGCTAACATTAACAAAGCAATACAAATAAATTTACTGTAATTTTTTTGGGTATGGTGTTAACATCTTCATTTTGATTAATGTATATTCTTGAGGTCCAACTCCTTCTCCAGATGATCTGTCATGGTCCATGCAAGGTTGATTATCTTTTGGTGAAAAAATGGTATATCTTTTACCATAATTGATTTTATTTCTTTCTTTAAGATGATTGAATTGCCATCTTACAAAAGAATCAAAGAATGGGTTTGCATCAGTAGTTATAAATGTACGCCTCCAGTCTGTCTGCATTGAAAAAAGAAACGAGCAAATTATGTTTATTTATTCATACTTTGGTTTTTCATATTTTTGTTTTCTTACAAATAAACCAAATGCCTTGAGATCTTGTACAGCAAGAGGTGGAAAATAATCGAGCCAGTACTCAGCATTAGCAAAATTTTTTATTTCTTCATCAATAAGTCCAAGACTTTGCATTATTTGCCACTGATATTTGGCTGTACCAGCTTTTGCTACTGCTTTACTCTATAATTTCCGTCATAAACTCAAATTTAATTATATAATTACTCCAAAAATTACAATCAATTAAGCAATCATCAACCTCATGTAATAATCTTAAAGTTTGCTCAATATCTATTCCATACACTCACCTTCTTTCCTTTACTTTTATCTACAATAATTACATCATTTGACTCTTCTTCGAAAAGCTCATCATCATATGTAGGGAATTGGGGTGGATAACCATAAGTTTCTATTTCACGTTTTAATTTATCAGCGCAAGCTTTTATAGGCATTCCAGTACAATGAAAACCAAAAGGAAATAGTACATTCTTTCCTAACAATTTATTGTATCTTACTGCAAACTAAACACAACATGCAAATTAATAGAAATATTGATTGCTACATAGATTTTATAATTCATGTTATCTTTAACAGGAAATCTTACCTCAGACTTTGATAATGTAAACGCATGTCCTAAATGCAGTCTACCATTCATATAAGGAAATGGAAAAGTGGCAAGAAACTTTTCACCACTTTTCTTTTTGGGATGACTTGGAGCATCTACCTCAGTTATTTTCATATCATTCCATTTTTGTTGTGCAACACGCTCAATATTTTGCAGATATTCCACCTTGAAAGTACCCTTTCTTTCACTCTGTAAACAATTGAAATTGATTAAATATTTATATTTGTTAAATATTTATAGAATAAAACATGAATTCGATGGAAGGACGGTTTCTTTTATTTAAAAGTACCATTTTTAACACATTGTACATCATTGAGCCCTCAGATTTTATTGAAAAAGAGGTTATGTATTTTGTCATATACCGATTCAAAAGACAAATATACAAATCATCAATGAATTGTTTGTAAAATTTAAAAGAAAATAAAACATATTTGTCAGTGTTACTCACCATAATGACGAATTCACTTCAATTTATTTATTAATATACAAGATAAAATAGCATGCTTTGCATGCACTTTTGATACAGCTGCTGCAACACCCACGAAAAAAAGAGCTGACGTAACAATTTTGCCGAGCACGTGTACTTTACATTTTTCAAAGCTGCAGTAGTCGACAGTGTCGACTAGAGAGTTCAGAAAACATCTTGTCACGAGCTTAATAAAGTACATCGCGAGTAATATTTTTTATTAATGAGTTCATTTTTTGATATATTGGCATTTTAATAATATAATTTTTATTATAAAATAATTTTTAATGAAATCAAAATTTTTATTTATACTCTACTAAATTATTTTTGGTGTTTCTTGTAAAAAGCTCCCATGCAAATTTTCATGTATACGAAATTTGTTTGATATCAGGTGGATGCGAAAAGTGTGAAGTGTCAAATTGGAATTCTTCGTGAGTAATCATGCATATCATCTATAAATGATTTCAGCATGATCAACTATTTATCCAACATACCTTTTTCATAGTGAATGATTTGACTTACATTTCGCAATATATCACTCGTAAGCTTCTTTGAAGGAACCCAATTTAATCGTTTAGGCTGCAAATAATTTTCATTTCTATTTTCAAAATAAGTTGGCAAATTAGAATACTTTAGTTTATGCGTTTTCATTAAATATTCTTCGATCAGTTTGAAGAAGCATCGGTTATTAATGATTTCCCTATTGGAAAAATTTAGATTATATATATTTCGGTGCTGAAAAAGTGCAAAGTTCGGAAGTTTTCTTTACCACACGACATTTTCAATTATCGAAGCAGACATATGAACAATATCTGGTGGTAATTTCTTATTTGGCATGCAGTCACAATTAGTCTCTTCAATAGCCGGAGTAGATTTTAATTGTTGCTCAACGTTAACGTTTCCGTTGACATCGTAAAAATTGTGAATGTCTATCTTGAGAGTTAGAGCTTTCCAAAAGGTTGAAGGCTTTTTTATAGGATCAAAAACAGGCATTCTCTATTAATAATCAAATAAAGTTCAGTTAGAAAGCCAACTCAATTTACAAAAACTTGAAATAGAAAACTAAATTAACCGGATAACTAAGGCCTTTTTCGTTTATCATAAATTTGCCATCCATGCCTTTCAAAAGACATTCTTGTTCTCTTTGTTTCCTTTTCGCCAAATTTTTTTCAGTCACATCAACAAAATGACAATGCACATCAACCTCTAAATGACATTCGTAAGAATAAGCCCAGACTTGAATCACGAATGTTAGAATGCTTTGCGGCTGTATCAGGCCGGACGTTGGTTCTATCTTAACTTTAATGACTTTTGCTATTTCACAACTTGAAGAATATTAAGTCTTTTAAGTAAAGTCCAAGATTTTAAAACAGCAAAAAAATTTTACGACTTACGTTTTCCATTCATAGCTAAAGACATGGTAACGATGATGATTGTGTAACATAATTATTCGATTTATTTTGCTGTGCATTGATATAGGCGGTAGACTGAGATAATCGCTACTAAAATATGCAATTATATCGGACGCCTTAAAGACGTCAGATTGAGGACACGTTTCATGCTCGTTATTCCTGTTTAAAGTACACGTGCACTCGCCTTGTAGTTTTACTGTCGATTGCTTGTCGCCTAATTGTATCGGCAACATTGTCTGTTTAAATTAAAGAAATAGAAATTCATTGTAATATCGAATATAAGATGATCTTCGTGTACTGAACATGCGAACTAACTTCAAATTTGCCAAATTTATTCGGGCAGAAACCAAACAATACTGGCTTCCGTTCCCAGCCTTGAATCGTGCCTTCTGGATTCAAGCAGGTAAAAATAATTGCGTAATTCCTTTTGTTAAGATAATTAAGAGCTTTAGTTTTTATTACGTAAGAAACTTCATTCTCCGAGTTGTTATGCAAACAGATCGTCTATAAGTATGTTTTATTAAAAAATTTTAGACAGAAGCATTAGACAGAAAAAATCAAATAAAGTTGTTAAACCTGATAGCACATTGTAGGCAATTCCTTGATGTCAACAGTCTTAAAATTTAAATAAGGACTTGGCAAAATAAAAGAACATTCAAAATTTATATTTAAAGTGATGATCCTTTCATTGCCAATATGTAAATTCCAATAAACTCCCGAAGGATGCTGTGGGCAGCTTTTGATATTTATCGTTAAAATACATGTTTCACCAGCCTGAAATTGAAATGATTCAAATGATACATGTTTCGCTACATAATTATGTAAAAATCGTACCGGTAATTTCATTTGATTAGGGTAGATTTCTATCGATGGATCGTCAACGCAATTGGTGCAATGACTTTTCGAATTCCTCGTGACAATAGGTCGCGTTTTGGCTGTTGACTCATTGCAGAAGCATGTTTTCTTTTTCTTCAAATTCCATAAGATATCAGTTGGGCTCAAATTGATCAGCAAAAGTTTCACAGTCAGCGTTTCGTCTGGACCAATAGGTGGGACCTTCATATAAATCAAACTCTCCACGTTCGGTTGTGATTCTTTCAAAGCTGAATTCAAACTGTTGCATCAAGTGCGTTACAAATATGATATTTTAAAAATCTCGATTAAACATCATCCTTACCCGTCTATGCACAAAGATTTCCAAAGGGAAATCTTACTGATTCCGACGTTAGCGTCAACTCGATATAATAAATCCTTTACCTGCATAAGAAAAAACAATCAACAAGAAAATAAATATACGTGTGTAATCGCAAAAGAATGCAATCGTATGTACCTTCAGTTGCGGTAAATAACACATACAAGTTAGGCGACATAGGCTTTTAGAATCAGCTAAAGGTAATATAACATCATCTGATGCGTTTGATATCATCAAATAATCGATAGTTAACTCGTATAAGCCTACGCACTTGGGATTCAAAACAACTTTAATTCCCTCTGCTTTTCCAGGGGCAATGTTACCGTGACTCGGTAATATTTTCAAATCTTTCTCGGGACTTTCCATCATATCGAGACTTTTCAATGGACGACAGATCAATTGATAATGAATTTTAACGGGACTGAAGTTGAAAATACGAAAATCTATTTCGCAATTTTCTTTGTAGATTCTCATTCCGAGATTCAATTCTTCAGGCATGGCCTACGAACCATCAATGATTTTTCATTAAAATCTTCTGCGAAAGCATGACGATATGCCGGAATCACTGGTAGATAAGCAAAAGATTGGCGTCGTACCATAAGAGAGCCTTCTGTACAGCTAGCAGAAGTTTCTATTTGCGTAATGCAGCGTCTGTTACCGACGTTAGTAGTCGTGTGGCAAGACACGTCGAACTCGTAGAATTTCAATTGATTAGGCATAAAAGTCCAGTTGTGAAAAACTGTTTCGTTTGGATAAACGATTCCCATCATCGGTGAGATAAGCAACTCTTTCGGCAAGTCAGTAAAATATTCAAATCTAAAAATAATAATTAAATAGAGTCCAACGTCATTGTTTGCTGAGAACAAAATAGGCAATACGCACACGTTTGTTAACTTATCTTATCATCGGGATATGCCTACCTGACGAGGTGCCGGCTAAGATTGCGCACAGAAACAGCTCGCGTCTGCTTACAACCAAAATGCACCGGATCGAAAGTCACAAAGTTTTCATCGCCGAATACCAAAATCCCTTGCTCTGCGAAACCTTGCAGATCTAAATAGATTTCATTTTTTGAGTTGCCGTTCAAACGAATAGCCCATCGTTCCACGTATGCGGGGTCAGCGCATGCCTCGGGGAACAATTCCACGACGATAACTTGGTACTCCTGCTTACTGTGAGGGTAGTTATGAGTTTTTAAGGTGAGATCTTTTGCGATGTTTAATCAATTGAATTAAGTCGTTAAGATATTATTCAATTTTCTCGGATAGAAGAGTCAAGTAATTAGCAGTCTTGCTCTTTACGAAAGCCTTGCACTTGACATCACACCGCTTATCAAAAGCTAAGCAAATAATCAACAAGGATTTCGACGGTCACGAATGTCATTGCCATATAGAAAAATTTATTTGAAAGATGAAAATTAATATTCAGTAACACGCGAAAAGGAAAATCCGCCTGAAAAACAAATCATCCACAGGTAAAATCTTACCGCGTGATGAGTCCCATCATAGGCTTTATACTAAAATGAGTAGTTTTCGGTGGAATGAAGTGGAACATAAGAGGTTGCTGGCCAAAGTTTCTCATAATAAAAGTGCTGTAAACGGGCAGTGCCGGCACACAGGGTGGCATTGTCATTGTTTCCGGAATCTCGTACTGTGGTATCCAGTCATTCAAACCGTGGTCATAAGAATGTCCTGGAAATTTTTTTCGAATAAATATGAATGATCGGCATTGTTCAATATTTATTTTTCTCATTCACCCATCAATCGAATCGAGGTGAAGTCTGGGACGATTTCCGAAAGTAAATTGTCGGATATCTGAGAATTGATTGTGCAACAAGGTATTCTAAAGATTCGGGCCAATAATTCTCGGCAATAGAATTTACATTGATCCGTGGGATCGAAACGAACTTCGAAAATAACTGATTTATTTTCACTGACTTTAGCTTCTTGTGGTTGAATATTAAATATGCCTGATTTGTCTAAAATAATTCAAGGCAATTAGTTTCCAATTAGTTGATTAACTGGGTAAACAACCTTTTTCCCATAAAACAAGAACGTCAAATCTGCTATTATTAGTCAAACAAACAGTTTGTGGAGCTCTCTTCGCGAAATTATTTGGTCCGGCTTTAGCTTCTCCAAAGTCAACAAAACTCCAAGATAACGATACAGTTGGTGGCTCATCTTTAACAATGGTCGTAGTATCATTCATATAATTTATAAAGCTTCTTGCTCGATCTAATTCTGGAATTTTCTCAACGATTGAAAAAATGTTGCGTATCTCGTGCTGACTCAAATCGCACAGTCCGTAAAGTTCAAAAATAATTGGATCCTAAATAAACGAACAAACATTTAGTTGAGTGCTAAAAATAACAAATCTAGAAGTGAATTTAATATTTTACTTGGTGCAAGATAAGACAAGGCATATAATATTTGTAAATCCCATTAGCGACGGAGTGAAACGATATCTCAATTATTTTGTCCGATAATGGTTTGATAATACCACTCAATTCGTTGATTTTAAAAGGGCACTGATTAACGTCAACGTCAAACGTAAACATTGCCGGTATTTTCGCATGGTTGATAAGTTTGATACACTTTGTAGCCGAGCAATTTTTATCGGAAGTTATGATCAGTCTCGTGCAGGAACTTACGACATTCACGGCTAAAGTCATCAAAAAAACAACGTAATTCGATTTTTAAATTCAAATTTCTTTTCTTGAGGAATAAATATTTTTACCAGCAGAAGATCCACGAACGATAACTTTGTAGCAGCAATTATAAGTGTCTATGATAAAAAAATAATCGGTGTACTTGTAGCTCGGTAAAATCGGCCGATAACTAATATCACACATGTAAGATTCGCATGGCATTAACGACCAGGTATAATCAATCGCATTGAACACTTGGTCTAATGGATTACTCATGAAGTCTCGTTGAACAACGTACGTTTGTTCATTCTACAAATAAAATATAATACACTTTCAAGGGAGAAAGTCACGTGTTTTAAAGTCACAATTCCGCAATTTACGTTGCTGTTATTAACGATTTTGATTGATTTAATTTTGGTAACGCCAACTGCAACTTCGCCAAAGTCGACCTCGATGATTTTTTTATCCTTGGTAGCATCATCCATTCTGTAGTAACGAGTCTAGATGAATCAGACGTAACGGAGAAACACATAGAGATAAAATTTATAACACCGCCTTAGTCACCGTCGTCATACCTGCAATCTTATATATACCGTCCCCTTCTTTGTCACTCTCTCTCTCTCTCTCTCTTTTGTGATTGCAAAATCACGGTATACTACTACCTGTAAACTTTTATTAAAATCGTAGGTGGCGCAGCATCAGCTGTATTGTTTTGATCAGGCGTGTGAGTGTTTTTTGACTTTGACAAGACTGTTTGCGCGCTAATACCAAGAAATCAAAAAGCTGATTCACGTAAATTCCCTGTCCTTGGTGGTATCTTCTAAGCAGGTGAGGAGTGAGGAGAGGCAACTCTTTCTACCAGTCTACATGGGCTTTATGACAGTTAATTCAAAATGGCTGTGTGTTTCACTAAGAGCTTCATTTATCTACTACTTGCTTTCGGTGGTTTCGTTGCTGCACTCCAACCTTTCAAAACAAAATATATCGAATGTAAGTTGAAGTGACCGAAACAGTGCTACTTCCATTAATGAAATTAAAATTAATTTTTTATTAATTCCATTTTGGTTGTGTTAAGGCAAGTGTTGTTGGTTATGTTTATTAATTCATTTTTGTTGTCTATTGTTTTTACGCTACAGATGGCTTAGATAACGAAGCTATTTGCAATCCTGTGGCACATAATATTCAAAATGTGGATAATCTCAAAAAGAATAAAGATTCTGCCATAATAGTAAAACCATCACACACCTTTACTACATGGCTAGTTAACTACAATAAAATTTGCAGATTCAAAATAAGATCAGCCAAAGAAATGGGACTATTTGCTGTGATACAAAGGATGTCTCTTAGGCGTAACGGAACAGGATGTTTAGATTATGTTCAGGTATGTACTTGAACGATTTTCGTTTTTACAAATGTCCTATCTCCTATTTTCTTAAATAAAAACAAGATGAGTCGCCGATATCCAGCGTTGTGACTGGTTGATGCTAAAATCTTAAATAAAAACAAGATGAGTCGCCGATATCCAACGTTGTGACTGGTTGATGCTAAAAAAAGCGCGAAATTTTGAATTTTTATATACTTTAAAATATTTTTATTATATATCTAGGAATGTGAGATTTATATTCCAGCAGTAACTTCAATTTATGAATAATTAACCTAGATAATAATCTGCAAGAATGGAAATATGCCGTATTGATGAATCGTTTTGATAATATAAGACTTTAAGTTCTGAAATGATCAGTACAATTCATTAATTTTATAACCCCCTATGGTACTGAAATTAAAATGTCCTGATAAAATTTGATAGAATTAGAGAAAAAATGCATAGAATAAAATAGAGAAAAATATATTTTTATCTTTAGTAAATTGTAAATTAAGAAGTATGCAAGCAACAGAAACTAATTGTGAGAATATTAAACCCGTTAAATTAGCAGAATATTTACAGGTGTTTTTAACGAGGTAACAAAAAGCGCAAGATAGTAAACGTATTACTTATACTAATATAAGATTGGATTGATAATTATTACTGTTGAGTATGTAAAGTTTAGTATTATATAATAGTATCATAGCTCAGTAAAATTCATTAATCAAAGGTTTAATTAAGCTTTTGAATAATTTTTCCGATATATCTTAAAATAAGTAAGAGATCATTGGTTTTTATGAAAAAATGACTGTACGTCCTATTTATATTCATCAACAAATATTGATGTATATAGTCTATTTTAAAAAGCATGACTTATTTGTACCTATTACGATCTCCAAGTTGACATATAAAAGGTTCAAATAATGTAATAAATAACAGAAACACAGAAGAAAGAGCGTGTGAAGTCCACTACATGACACTGTTTTTCTTTTATTATTCTATTAGTTTTTAGTACAAGTCGTCTTTAATATTTTTAATTAATAGTATTTTTTTTTTTGAAATTCCAGTTTCAGGCTGAAAATCTTGACGAGAAGGAACCGCACATTTCAGAAAAGTATTGTGGTAAATTGTACATTTTTAAAGGTGTAGAACGATACTTTCCAAATATGAATGCAAAAGATTATGAATATGTTGCTCAAAGTATTGAAGAAGATTCTAACGAGAATTTTAAACAGAGTTTTGAAATTAGTTCTACTGCTGGAAAAATAACAACAGAAATATTCATTTCAAAACAACCAATAAAATCAGGGGAAATACTTGATTTACTGATAACATATACTCCATTTAGAGGTTTACAAAGTTTAAATATAGAAATTATAGAATACAGTTATCATAAATAAAGCAATTACTCATTAATCTTACAATTTCAGATTGCAATGCTTCAAAATCTACAGGCTTCCATTGGTTTAAACATGCACATTTCAAGAGCTTCTGTATCAATGATGAATACAATTGTGACCATTTTAGAAACTGTGTCAGTGGAATGTGTTCTGATGAAACTAAATGCACTTATCCTGATGAAACAAGAATAGTTAGTGATGAAACAGGAACAAAAGTGACTGTTAGTGCAGTGACAACAATAATTTTATGTTTCATAATATTTGTTCTATGCATATGGATATGTCGAAAACACAAAAAGCTTTGTTGGTCATCTGATTGTACAAGACCTTCATCTTCTATCAGTAGTAACAATGCTGGAATGCCAATGGAACCAAATCAACAAAGCACACCAAACCCGCCATTAGTATCTTCAGTACCTATGTTAGAAGTGGCTGTTCCAACATCTCAAGACAAAGATTTACCACCAACTTATGATTCTTTATTTCCTACTCAACAAAATACTGATACTACCACTGCCAACACATAGAACGAATTTATTTTTAAATCTTGGTTTTTCATGCTGACTTGTCTAATGTTATAATTAGATGATTTTAATTAGATTAGAAATGATTTTCATGTGACTCAATATTGCACTTTGAAGTGTAAGTGATATTTGTTCAATTTTGAATACATTACTGAGCAATTCAAAAAGAATCCAAATGTATACCAAAAAGTTAATTTGAATGTGTTGTTGTAGACATTGCCATTTCTGTTAGCAAAGCAGTTATTTCCAATTTGTTTTGTATCTATATATTTAAAAGTTAAAAAAAATCAAAATAATGCATTCATGTTTCATAACATAACTTAATGTAACAAAATTATATTATTATTATTATTTTCTTAAGAATTTTCTATTATTTTATATTTTGATACTTCAAAAAGCAATTATTGTTGAATCGTTATTAATACGCTAAGTCTGAGTCATTCTGACGGAGCCAAATTCTAATATTCTATATTTTTTACAATGATATTAAAATTAGGATTAAGGTCTATGAATGGAATATAAGTTTTGAAAAAGAAAAAAAGACAATAACAATAAGAAAGAAAATATTGTAAAAATCCGATATCTATACATCTTCTTTTCAAAGTTTTTAAAAAACTTTTATATCTTTTTTCCAATTATTTTGTATTCAGCTACAACAATTTTATGATGGAAATTTTAATATGCAAAAAGTAATTACAGAAAGATCTGATTTTTATTATATACAATGATCTTGATAACAATGTATTATGTATAGTTTCATAAATTTACTTTATAAAGTACTATACTAATTGCAAAAATCTTCCAGTAAATAACAGTAAATACTGACAGTACTCTTGATGTCCATATTTATCATAAAAATGCTTTCTCCGTCCTGTATTGTATTTTATGTATGTACCTGAATTTCATCACCATGTAAATTTTATGCTGTCTGTGTATAGACTATGATATTAAACAGCACTGTATAATAATGTCATATACTTTTTTTTTTTTTTTTATTTAGGCAAACTCAACCCTATAAAGGGTTATTTTGCAATAGAGAAAAATATACATTAGTTTTTATTTTTTTTTCAATTCAGTGTATACTTTTGTATATATTTAGAGTACTGTATAATAAATGTTTAATTAAACAATTGCAATAAGTATTTAAATGTGTTCTAATCAATTTAAAAGAAAAAGAGAAAATTCATATTTTTTGATTTTGTAATTGATATGATATTGAATAAAAATATAGTTAAAAATAGCAAAATGTGTTTATTCAGTTTAGAGACTTAGAAAATGAATATGACAAGTTTTCATCAAATATTGGAACATATAATGATGACGTCGAGTACACGTTGTCGATATTCTGGTAAAATTAGACGAAAGATGTAATTGTAATTGTATTACTCTTTTTATTCAACGTAACTATAATTATTGATCATTTTGTTCTATAAACCATAAAGCAACATTGATTGAATTGTCAATGTCAACATTATCTTTTCTTAATGAATGATTGTCTTCATATACTAATAATCTGAAATAATTGTAAGTAATATAGAAATAATGCAAACATTAATTAGCAGATTTGCAGATAGTAAAATAAATTAAATTAATGCACTTACTTAGTTGGAACGTTGTTTTCAATCAAACGATTATACCAAAGTTTACCCTGAAATGACGGGACTCGTAAATCTTTCGTTCCAATAACAACTAATGTCGGTATTTTAACTTTATCAACATAGGTGATGGGCGAGTGTTGCAACATTTTTAGCAACAGATTACTGTAGGTGATTGCGTCACCCTCCTGTGGAATTTTCTCCAGTATTGAAAATCCAATTCCAGCGCGGCACCTGCACAAGTTACATTCTTATATATCTAAATATTTAAAATCTCAGAGAAATTATTAATTAAAGTTAAGCAGTTTAAATTACCAGTCAGGGATGTCTGTTGTACTATACATTGAAGCGATGTCAATGACTCCATTCAAAATCACAGCTGATTTGAATTTTTCCTGAAAAATATTAAAAAAAACAAAAATAATTGAAGTTAAATTAAATAAACCCATTGTTTGAATTACTTACTGGATATTGTCCGCTAAGATGAGCAGCCAAAAAACCACCGTGGGATCCACCATAAAGATTAACTTTCTTTGGGTCTAACCACGGATACTTTGCCAGTGCAGTATCGATAGCTGTAACGCAATCACGAACGTCAACATCACCGATTTTTCCAAGAAGATAATCGACGTTGTCTCCACCTAAACCAGTAGATCCACGATAGTTTATTTGCAGAACCCCGAATCCTTGAATAGAACAGTTATATTTCAATTAATTCTGTCTAATAGTGGAGGGTTAAGTAGGCAACTTATAGCATTTCATATACCTAGAAGAGTCAATAAAACATAGTCTGGATAATACATGTTACAGTAGCTAGAATGTGGTCCCCCGTGACCAACAGCAATTAGAGGTGTAGACTTATCTGGTCCGCCGTTTTTTCCGAAATATGTGAAATTGAAATCTTCTACAAAATCATGGAACGGTCGTTAAACAAATTTTTAGTAAATTTGTTTTATTTTTAATAAAAATAATTGTATTAGTTATTGCATACGTACTGACGCTCTCATCAGTCTCATAAAGGTACTCAGTGTGTTCGAACATCAGATTTTCTCCATCTGGTATACTAAATGCGTTTGTGTCTTTGAATAATGTCAATTGTCCAATATTTGGCAAGGCTGAATCAAATTTTCCAACAGTCAATTGCGATGGCTTTGTTAGAGCAAATTTTACCAAAGCTAAATAATTTTTATTAACATCAGCAATCAATAAACTAGTTCCATCTGGGTTATCAATTTCAGTAATAGTCTTGGTCTCTAGAAATGTTAGGTAATTGTTCTCAGTATACGTTATTTAAATTAAATGATTCTGATTTGAAAATTTAGCACTTTAAACTCACCTAAAGTGACGACGTACGACTTGATTATCGATCTTTGAGGTGTACTGAGGAAAATGTACTTGGAATCAACGCTCCAACAATGCTTGGGAAGGTTTTGATTATAAAGTCCATAGAATTTCTTACCATCGGCAATTATTGCCTCTTTTCTTACTGTATCTATGAGTACTTCGGGCTGTTATATAATATGCATATTATAAAATGAGGTTCAAGCATTAATAGTCGGATTTTTTGAGTGAACGCCAATGAAAATGTTAGAGTGATAATTTTATTGTGCTAATAAGAATTTATCTGAAAGAAAAGATATAAATTATAAAAAATATACCTTGTATTCACCATCTAAGTTCATGTACATAAGCCTCTCAACATTATTATGAGCAGGATTGATAGTTCTCTCAATCCATATAAGATACTGTGCGTTTGGACTGATTCGTGGAGATGTGCAAAATAGACCTTCTGATGTAATCTTACCTTTGAATATATTTAATTTTGTTTTAAATATCAAACTTTACAAAAAAAAAACAATATTTCGAATAATAATTGTGAATGTGTACATACAAAATTCTTTTCCTTTTAATTGGAAAATATATGATTCTCTGTTAGTACAGCTATATAAACCTAGATATTTGGTCTTTAATTTATAAGCTACGCCTATTATATCGCTGTCATTAGGAGCCCAAAGAACTTGAGCAGGGAAGTAATCGTTAGGAATTGTCGTGATAGGTTCAATAGTATCTTCGGCAATATTTAGAACAACAACGACAGATTTATGCTTCCCAACTAATTGTTCTCCCCAATCGGGTTTATAGATATATTCGGTGCCCTAAGTGATTAAATGATTTTGATTTTCAAAATGTAAATGATTATACTTATTACATAATCGAGTCTGATTTCTTACGCGACTAGGCTCTTCTTCATCGTTAGATTTTTCAGCTTTAGGCTTAGGTTTTGGTTTTTGTTTATAAAATGGTTCACATTTTGGTAATTTTGTCTCAGCAACATACAATAATCGTGTATTATCGTTGGACCATTGGAATGCATGAAATGTAGCTGTAAGATTGAACCAAATTGAATGAAAAAATATATTTTGACTTGTAAATAATTTTAAAATTAAGATTCTTTGAGAAGGAAAAGTCTTTTACGTTCAGTATAGACATCTCCATGAACATCAAATGCAGATAAATCATAGGATTTATTGAGACACTGTTTATCCCAAATTTCAATGAACTGTTTTGACTTTCCTTCCACTGTGACATCTCTAAGAATAGCCTTCAGTTTTTCATCTTTCGAAAATGTCGTCAAAAGTCTGAAAATACAGAAATTAAAAGAGATCTTTACAATTTATTCTTGAAACGAAGGCTCGTTCTAAAATTTGCTATTACATTAAGCGTCGCATTCATACTCACTCTGTCGTGATATCAACTGGCATATTTTCAGCTATTAGCTCTAACTGCGAATTGTAGCTACATTCTTTCAAGAATTTCTGCTTCGAGTGCTTTTCCATATTTTTCTGAGACCAAATGCTTTGTACCGTAAATGCATGTAGATTCATTGGAATGATACGGGCAGACACAAAAGTTGGTATTTGACACAACCGTTTATAAATATTTAAAATTTTGTCGATCTAAAAACATATTCGAAATAGTTATTGTATTTGCTGTCAAATAGTTTTAAATGAATTTAAAACATTCAACTTCATTAAATAAATAATCGCGATTTAGAAAATTATTTATATAAAACGAATTAGATAATTAAAAAGTATGAGCAATGATTCTACCTGCGTTGAAGACATGATCGAAGTTGCAACAATAATTAGCTGTTATCTAAATTCAAATTTATAGATAAGTCGTTGAGCGATAGGAGCTTGTAGACCAGTTACACCTTAGTTTACTAACGTTAATAACTGAAAAAAAATTCACTGTTGTTAGTTTTATTTCATTAAAATAATTTCAAGTTTTTATTATTCAAATTGTATCGTTAAAATGTAATCAATTTATAATATAGTTATATGATTAACTTTTACTGCTACTGTTATATGATTAACTTTTATTGTTATTACTGTTATTGTTAAAGATTGACAATTAATAATTCATAAAATTTTAAGAATTAATCAGTTGAATTGTCGTAATTTTTCAATTCGAGTTTATTATTGTGATTCCAGTGACTTAATAATCTACATGTATCTAGATTGATATATGAAGTCTTGACGCATTTACAAAATATTTTATCGATAAGTAAATTACAAAACATAATCAGGTGTTACTCATAAACTGGCAGATAACAATCATAAATCTGAAAACACGTATTTATGTATATTCTTAAAAATTATTTCCTCCATGTACTTTGAAAGCTTGATATTATATAAATTTTATAGAGTTCACAAACTTCTGTTTATTTTCAATTAATCGGACTGATGTATTCATGGTCAAAAACCGTTTTCAAACAATTTATACCTCTTTTCACAGATAACATTCTTTTACAGTAACGTTTCAAATGCTTTGAATTATTAATGAGATGATGAGAAAATATGTAAATTGTTGAAAATATATTTGTAAAACTCTATTTTTCTTAAATTTAAGGAAATTGTAACTATAAAAATTATGATATTTTAAAATTTTGCATATTTTTTACTTTGCGTCTTTTTTAATATGGATCTAAGCGTGTTCTAATGTTAAATGATATGGTCATTTAAAAGTAGTTTATCATAAAACATTAAATGGTATAATATTGGGTAAAGTTTTGAGTAATGATTTCAAATAGATCGAAAGTTCGTAAAATATTTATTAAAATTTATTGTATAGAATGTACATAATAGAGCGAACAAAAATAATTATAAAATTCAATTTTAAAAGACTTAATAATTATATTAGGGTATCATAAATTTTTCTTGGAAAAATGAGGAGTATTAATTCGTTGTATGTTCTATAAACCATAATGCAGCATTGATAGTGAAGTCTAGTTCAACTTCATCTTTTAATAATGAATGGTTGTCGTCATATATATACAATCTGAAAAATGTTGATATAGTTATATAATAAACTTTCCTGAGTTCAATTCCAAATACCTATTTATGTTTTCAATTTACAAACACTCACTTAGAAACAACGTTATTTTCGCATAGCCGATAGTACCACATCTTGCCTTGTGGTTCTGGAACTCTCAAATCTTTCGAACCCAATGCAATCAAAGTAGGCGTTTTAACTTTGTCAACGTGCAAAAATGGCGAATGTTTCAACAAAACTTGCATCAACTCAGGATACTTGGAAATACACATTGTTTCTGGCAGTTTTCCAAGATCCCGACTACCAGTTTCTCCGGAACACCTAATAGAAAGGCTTAGAAAATTAATTGAGTTAAATATTTACAAATTTACAAATTATTAAATACTTATAAATGGATTTCCAGATATTTTCAACAACCTATAAATATAGATTTTCTTTTATGTAATTAGTTAATTTTTAATTTTGCGTTAATGATGAATTAAAAAACTGAAATGCACGATGGCAGTATTGAAAATAGTTAAGAATATGATTGAGACTTTAAACGTGTCGTACCTGAACCTGAACTGTTCGCGAAATCTGATCATTTCGTCCAAATTTAATGCACTACGCCTACTGTGAAAAATAAACTCAACTCACAAATTAAAAATGCAATTGTTTTGGTGATCTGAGCATTCATAATTAACGAATTAATGAGATTAAATGTAAAAATTGAATGTAGGTAAATACTCAAGCGAAATAGTTATTTATGTAACTGAAAATATTTTTACCAATCAGGGATATCTGTCAAACTGTACATTGCCGCTAATTCAATTACTGGATTTCTTAGAACAATTGCTCTAAACATATTCTGAAATTATAAAACACATGAAGTAATTTTTGATAAGTTTTTAAAGATTTTCAAAATAAAGAAATATTTCTTACGGGATATTGACCACTGAGATGAGCGCTAATGAAACCACCATGTGATCCACCATGAACGGCTATTTTTTTTGGATCTAACCAAGGATACTTTCCTAACGCTGTAATGATTGCTGTAACACAATCTAAAACATCAGATTCACCAACTCTGCCAATAATGTATTCGACATTATCGCCACCTAATCCTGTAGAACCGCGATAATTTATTTCCAATACAGCAAAGCCTGAAATTTATAATAACAAATGAGCCTAAAATAAATAAAGAATTGGATTGTATGATAATATAGTCTATTTTATTAAATTACCAAGAAATACAAATACTGCATATGTCAAATTAAATTCATTATTGTAAACCGCGTGAGGTCCGCCGTGAATAACTGCTATTAAAGGCGTCGATTTGACAGTTCCACTTTTTTTACCGAAATAGATGAAGTTGAAATCTTCTATAATCATTAAAATGTATATTGACTTAATAAATAACATCAATTGCAATTTTACGTTCTGTATATTATGTATTGAAAATTGAATACGCACTGACAGATTCATCTTTGTCATATACGTATTCTGTGCACTCATACTTAAGAGTATTGCTTTCAGGAAGATATTGAGGTTCCGTAGAGCTAGTTAAATGCAAGTTTCCAGAATAAGGTGCACTTGAATCAAATTTACCAATAAGAAGTTGTGATACTTGTATGATCGAAGTTTTATTAAAAGCTACAAAATCATGTTTGACATCAAAAATGTACAAACTACTATCATCTTCGTTGACTACTTCGGTTATAGTTTTTGTATCTATTGAGCATTTATAACAATGTTATCTCTCAACATGGATAGAAAATGGAATTTATTTTTCAAATTACCTTTATCAATCACGTAAGAAGTTACGTTAAATCTTTGAGGCGTGCTTAAAAAAATATATCTAGAATCTTCACTCCAACAACGCACCGGTAAATTTTGATTATACAGACCATAAAATTTTTTGTCCCCAGAAATATTCACATGGGTTTTCACCGTATCCACAAGCACAGAAGGCTTCATGTTAAAAATTAATATAAATGAATAAACATAATTAATGCGGTAGAATGAAGTGCAGATTAAAAAGTCTCTGCCTTTGAATTTACCACAATTTCGATCCCCCATTGCAAGTGCATAAGTCTTTGTACGTGGTGATGAGGAGGGGTAAGGTCTCGTTCAAGCCAAACAAGACTTTTTCCATTTGGACTGAATCGTGGTGAAGAACAATAAAGACCTTTCAGTGTTATTGTTCCTATGAAGAAACCACAATATTTGTCTTATGTAAAATTCAAATAGTTGTAATATAAAAAAAACATACGGAAATTTTTTCCTTCTAAATGAAAAATGTACGATTCTCTATTTGTACAAAATATTTTTCCAAGATATCTCCGATCAAGTTTGTAAAAGACTCCTACAATTTCGTAAGTATTTGGAACCCAGATTGCTTGCGAAGGAAAATAATTTTCAGGAATAAAGGAAATGGGTTCTATGGAATCATTTTCAATATTCAAAATAACAACGACAGATTTGTGTTTTCCAACCAATTGTTCGCCCCAGTCAGGCTTGAAAATATATTCTGTGCCCTATTAATCCAATAAATAATCAATAAGTGATAGAAAATATTTATGAACTATTTATAATTTTTACGATATTGCACTAATGTATAAATTTACTTTCAAAGATGTTTCATGTTTATCTGACTCATGACTATCAGCTTTTGATTTTCGTTTGTAGAATGGTTCCGATTTTGGTAATTTTTTTTCAGCAATGTACAACAACCTAGTGTTATCACATGACCATTGAAATGTACTAAAAGTAGCTGTGAAAAAAATAAATAAGAATGCGTTGAATGATATGTTTTAATTAAAAGGTGTTACGTATTTGAATATATTAATACAATCAGAGTAAACATCTCCATGAACATCAAAAGCAGATAAATCGTAAGATTTAATAAGATGTTGTTTATCCCATATTTCTATAAACTGTTTTGTTTTCACACCATCTACTATCTCTCTTAAAATTGCTTTCAAATTAGCATCGTTAGATAAAGTCGTAGAAATCCTAGAAAAAATCATAAACGAAAATATTTTAAGAATTCTTGAAAGAATGTATTAACATTTGGCAATTCATATTTATAAAACTGATTGCAATATACACTTACTCTGACGTAACGTCTACTGGATAACTTTCTGATAATAGATTCAAATCTGAATCGTGGAAAAATTCTTTGAAGAATTTTTGTTTTTTTCTTGTTTCTAAATTTCTTTGAGACCAAATACTTTGTATAGAAATTCCTTTTTTATTAGTTCCTATTGTACTTGATTTTAAACTTGCTCTATCAGCTAATTGCTTATAAATATTGAGGATTTTATCGACCTAATTTATTAATATTCAATTTTTTATTTATTACATATATGATAAATTATTTCATATTATTTGTGGACAATAAAAAGACAAATTGATATTGTAACTTACCTGAAGCGAAGACATAGTTCCGACGTTGGAATAATTTTTTTGAAGTGCGTTATCACGACCAAACATTTATCTGATAAAATCGGTCTGGCTATGATGATAAATGCTATCAAACAGTTATAAATCCATCCTTTTACAATTGTAAGCTTTTTATCTTAAAAAAATAAAAGTCATACAATTATTCAACAACATTATTAAATTAACGCTTCTTTAATTCATTACAAAGTTTCTTTAAGGATAAGAAACTTTATGATATAAAAATGTCTTACAATCCGTAAGTAAATGCCAGAGATCCAATAAAACTTTCAATAGAGTAAGTACTTATGAGTTTTACATAGATAAAGAGAATTACAATGTGCGTAGAATATTCAAAACTGTTGAAAAATAGGTATAAATTTATTTAATAGTACATTACGATACAAGTGCGGGAAAGTAGATTCTTGCCTCGTGTACCTTTCCACCCTCGCTTCGCTCGGGCGTAAACGCCACACGAGACAAGAATCTACTTTCCCGCACTTGTATCGTAATGTACTATTATTTTTTATGTTTTTATTAAGGTATAAAAGTAAATATTTTTCGTAAACACATTTTCGGTAAAAAAATACCACTCTTTATTTCCATATTATTTCATTTATACCATAACTCTTTAAGATAGTAACTTATTTTGATTTTTTGTGAATATTGGACCGACAATTCTGGGGCTTTGGTTTGAGGTATAGTATTTAATTTAATTAATTTGGGTTTTTTTTTATTGCTAAACAAACTTAATCTGGAAAGATGTTTAAAGTAATAACACATTTGAGGAATATTTCTAGCATAATCATTTTAATTGTACTGGTTGGATTTTGTAGATTATTATTACATGCTAACATTTTTTAATATTAGTTTTATAAATAATTTTAGGATGGAAATGATTTAGACGATATAAGTTGCTTATATAAGTGTGTTTATTCTTTTGGTCTAGCTCCTATTTCGGTACCTCTTCAGCCATAACGGCAGATTTTCCCAATTCTTTTGATGTGTTATTTATATATTTCAAAAGCCAGAGTGCTGCGTTAATAACGAAATCGATTTCAACTACGTCTTTTGCCAACATATGATTATCGTCATACACGTATAATCTATAAAAGAATACAAATAAAGATATTTTTTCGCTTTGTGTGTCTATCATATTGAATAGTTTTTGCAAAAAAGATGTAATAAAACTCACTTTGTAATAACATCATTTGCTATTAACCGATTGTACCAAAGTTTACCCTGAGATGGCGGACTTCTTAAGTCTTTTGTACCCACAGCAATCATAGTAGGCGCTTTTACCTTACCGGCATGACGAACAGGAGAACGGTCAAACATTTTTAAAACTACTTCGGTGAATTTCAGCTCAGATGATGCTGGTGGTAACGTTTCTAAGAACTGAGTACCAGTATTTGTTGGACACCTATAGAAAATATGATATATAACAAAAGATATAGAATTTTATTTCTAATTTTATAAAATTTATCATAAAAATGTTTCACTAACCAATCAGGAATATCTGTGGTAGTATACATCGATGGAATATCAATGACAGGAGATCTCATTACAACTGCCCTAAACATATCCTGAAATAATTATTACAAATATTTATTCAGAATATTCAAATGTGAGATTACTATTCTCCATAAATCAACATACGGGATGTTGCCCGCTAAGGTGAGCACATAAGAAACCACCATGGCAAATACCATACAAAGTCACTTTTTTAGGATCAATGTGGGGATACTTTTGTAATGCCATCTTAACTGCTGTTACACAGTCAAGAACATCTACTTCACCAATTCTTCCACTCAGAAATTCAATATTATCTCCACCCATACCGGTGGAACCACGGAAGTTAATTTGCAAAATTGCGAAACCTAAAGGTTAATTATCATTTAAACTCCATTTTTATTATTGGACAGCAATCATTCAAATAATCGTTATATATACCTAGTAAAGCGAAAACAGCATGATCCATATTGAATTGATTACAAAATGAATAGTGAGGTCCTCCGTGAGGGACAACAAGCAATGGCATTGATTGTTCTTCGGCAGTTTTCACGCCGAAATAGGTGAAATTGAAATCCTCTAAAATTTTACAATATTATTATTATTATTATTACATTATTGAAAATATTTATTATAGTAAATATATTGAGTCCGTAACTATGACTATTGTTGCTTTTATTCTGCTTTTTCAAGAAAAAACTCAATTTTCATCAGTAATATATGATATGTACTTACTGACTGGTTCATTAGTTTTATATACAAATTCTGTGTGTTCATACATAAGATTTTCTGCATTTGGAATCTGGAGCGGTTGCGTGCAATTATACAAATGCAAATCACCAATATTTCCAGCAGTAGGATCAAATCTTCCTACTACTAGTTGTGGTGGCTGAATCATTGAGAATCTTGTAAATACTACACGATTTTTCCTAACATCCAAGATGCTTAAACTACTACCATCGGGATTTTCAATTTCAGTTACAGCTTTGGTTTCTGAACAAAAAAAAATAGAAAAAGTTAGTATATTATGAAGATTAATGTTATTGTACATCGTAAACATACCTAAATTGACGATATAAGATTTTATATTTGATCTTTGAGGCGTACTGAGGAATAAATAATTCGAGTCATTGCTCCAACAACGTTTAGGAATCGTTTGTCCATAAAAACCATAAAATTGTTTATTTTTCTCGATGGTAATGTTTGTCTTCACTAAGTCAACAACCATGTCAGGCTGGAAAGAAAATGAACATTTTATTTTCAATTTGATAGTAGAGTACATGTTATGAAAATAAAAAATTATGCTGACTGTTTCAACCACATCCCATCTAATATGCATGAGTCTTTGCACATTATGATGTGGCTTTTCTATATCTCGTTCAAGCCAAACTAGATGTTTTCCATCGGGACTAAATTGTGGAGTTTTACAAGCTTTACCTGGACTAGTCAATATACCTTTAAAAAAAAAAAAATTAACATATTACAAATATTACAAAACTTTGTACATATTTCTAATGACATTGAACTACTTACGGAATTCCATTCCTTTTAGTAAGAAAATATATGATTCTCTATTACTGCAACCATAGCGACCAAGATATCTTTTATAGCGTTTATAAGCTACACCAACAATACATTCACCATTTGGGGTCCAAATTGTCTCAGCTGGAAAGTAATCATCTGGTATAAAAGGTAATGCCCAAAATTTGTCTTCTTCGAGATCCAACAAAATAATAGCAGAACGATGCCTGCCCTCAAATTGTTCACCCCAATCAGGTTTGAATTCGTATTCTGTACCCTTTGTAATTAAGATATTATAATTTAATTAATTATAATATTGTAAACAATATTTGTCACTACTATATCGTGATAAAACACAATTTCTTTACCCGTTCTGGTTCTTGTTCAGTTTGATCGGTATATATGCAAGGTTTATATCTGGGTTTTTGTTTATAGATAGGTTCAGTTGGACGCAATTTTTTCTCGGCGATGTACATCAATTTAGTATTGTCTGGCGAAAATTGAAATGAGCTGAATACATCTGGAAGTAAAAAGACAAATTAATACAAACTATTAAGAAAAGTACTTGTATGTTACGTACTATCAGTGTAAATTTCTCCGTGTGCATTGTGCGCAGCCAAATCATAATTTTTGATAAGATGATTTCTATCCCATATTTCAATAAATTGCCTTGGCTTTCCATTAATCACAACTTCCCTAACGATTGCTTTCAACTTTTCGTTTTCCGAAGAAGTTGACAAAACTCTAAAGAATATGGCGCACATTTAATACTGTTTTGTTTGAAGAAATAAAAGCAATCGTATTTTACTTACTCAGTGCTAACATCAACAGGAAAACTCTCCACAAGAGGTTGCAAATCTGCGTCTAAACTGAAATCCTGAGTAAATTTTTGCTTGATGTTTCTTTCTAAATTCCTTTGAGACCAAACAGTCTGAATTGAGATTCCATTTCTTGCTATGGAGATAATTCTAGCGGATACCAAACTGGGATGTTGGCTTAAATATTTGTATAGACCTAAAATTCTATCCATCTGTAAATTGTATTAATTATCAGCGTAAACGAAAAAGAATTTAAAATCTGCAAGGGAAGTTATTGAACAATTTACTTCCGATACTCCTGCGGCTGCAGCTTCTTCTGCAGACACTAATGCAGGCGCAGGAGCTGGTGTTTCTGGTGCTGGTGCAGGCTCTGCCATTTCTAATAATTAACTATTAAAAAAAAATTAGGATAATATATCAATCATTTTAACGTAAATAAATTGCATAGGTAAAAATCGTTATGTAATTGAAAATTAATATAAATAGTGCATAAAATTCTATCACTAATATTACAAAATATGAAATAAAAATTATATAAAAAACAATGTTGACATAAACTTACCTGTTACTCACGCAAGTGTGTAATTTTTAATTTTCCAAATCGATATATAGCTCCTACTATTGCACTTATTATAATACTAAGCTTATGTAGCTATTAATAACACATGATTGGTGTACTTATGTTGAACTAAAGAATTATGTAGCTACAGGACGTTTCTAACTATAGAGGTTGAAAAGAGAGGTTGAAGTTCTCATAAATAACGGGAAAAATTAAGAGGGAAGGAAGAGGTTCGATTGGATGCCGCGAATAATCGCGGACGACTGATCAAAATCTCTGCCGATCGAGATGAGCTGCTGTTGCTTGGTTGCGTGAAAGAAATAATAGCCAGGTCAGGCACGCCTCGTTTGCGCTGAATTGTTGGCACAACAGCAATGTTAAAGTGGAATGCATCATTCTCTCAACGAACCATCAACACTTACGATCTTCAAAGCCAGCACAATTATTTGGATAGCCGTTGACCCAAGCACTTGAGCTAGATCCACTTGGCGGAGTTCGTAGTTCTTTTAGTATGAATGGCTTCTTTTTTTATTCAATAGAAAGTTTTTCTTTTGAATATCGTAGCTTTTTTCACTAAAAATTCCAGATTTTCGACAATCAAAGTATGAAGAGGGATATAGAAAAAGCAGTTCACAAGTTAAAAATGTTTTATGAGAAATTGAAGATTATTCGCGAATATCTTGAGATTTGTAAACTTAGTACTTGAGTACCGGTTCAATAAAATTTGGCCTCTTATTTTTAAAATTGTTCGATTTAGAAAGGGACGCGATTGAATCGGGTCAAGATCGATCTACGATCAATCAATGATCGAGTTTTATTTAAAAATACATCAAGGTGTGTCATATTTTTGACGTTACGTAATGTGAGAAATATTATAATCACTTTTGCATCGAAATAGGGATGTATCATTTCTATGTGACAGTTAACGTATTTTTACATCAATACAATTCTGCGCAAATTTCACTACTAAAAGGATTTTTAGACAGCATTGCATGCTTAAGATATTCTTCAAATACTTATTTCTTACAGTTCAAAAATTACTTTTTGAATCCTTATTCACTTTTCAACAATTTCAACAATTAAAAATTAATATTTAAAACGATTAATTGTCATTAAAGAAGTTGTGCTTTTAAAGCTGTAATATTTTTAGTTAATTAATTATTATCCGAATATTTAGATAAAAAATATAATTTGAAATTATTAAGCTAGATTATATTAATTTAACGCTATGTTAATTTCAATTATTGAGCATTCAATTTAAAATTAATCGACAAACACGCTTGGTGAATATTTTTTAATAAGTATTAAATGAATTCATATAATGGTGAATAAGTTGTCAATAGATGCCAGCACTAGACTCTAAGTAAGAAAGGCATTGTTAATCCTCTAGTTTTCATTTAGACTCCATGGTTCTGCCAGTGCCGACTGCTAAATTTTCTATTCATGTGTTCTTGAACTTGATTAGTGGAGACTATAAAGTCTCTATTCTCTATGTCTTCAATTTTGGTTATGTTAAGAATAGTAGAAATAAAATTTTAAATTATCTCATTCTGAATTAGTATTAATATGAATCATTAACTATTGGTACGATTAAAAAAATACTATATAAATAATATTGTATCTGAACTGACGAAGCATATTTTTTTACTTATATTTTATAATTTAAAAGTCATAACCTCAAATTTATTTGAAAATGTTTCTAAGAAAAGTTTTAAAATTGTCATCCTGTTTAAAAGATGTGCCATTAAAAGCGCAAAATGTGTTTGCGTATCACTTATCTCATGTCGAAAATTTAAAAGGTATAACTTTAAACTATATATTGTTTACATTGCTAAGATATTGTTTGAAATATTTATTTAGATGTAAAAGATATACAAGAACCTGCAGAGGATTGTGACAGTAAGTTAGAAACAGATTTAAAATCTGGAAGCCTTTCAAAAGTATTAATCACTTTACAAAATAATAATGATAAAATAAAAGGATCACATCTTACAACAGCAATGTCAACTTTTTATTATTTAATAAAAAAAGAGGCTTTTAATATTACTGGTGATCATACAGAGCCTATAAATATAGAATGGAAGCAGCATTTGTTTTTTAAAGAAATGTCTAACATTATAAAATCTAATATTAACAAGTTAAGTGGTCCTGAAACTGTGCAGATATTATATTACACAAGAAAATTAAAAGGGACATTTGAAACACATCAAATTCTTATCGAGCAACTCCATAAAAACTTGAAAGATTTATCAATCCAAGATTTCAGATTAATATTGTCATTATTTAAAAGATCAGAAAGAAGTAAATACCTTGCAAATTTGGAAAAAGATATGATAAAAAACTTCATCATGACAGTATCAACAGCTCATCAAAAAGATAATATTGACTATCTTGCTAATGGATTGTATTTTTTGAGTTGTAATTCAAGTAAAACTTGCAATAACTTATTAAACTTATTTGTTGACAACTTATGTGATTATAAAAATGATATACCAATAGAAAAGGCCATATTAATACATGAGTCTTTATGTTCCTTGTTTTATTTTCCAAAAAGATCATTAGAATTAATTAAAGTAATTCAACAAAATATGTTTGACAATATTGATGCAGTACAATCTACTCATATTAATTATATTATATTTGGTATTTCAAATCAGATAAAATCAAGAAGGTGCAAAAAATTAAAGAATTTAATTTTTTTTTATTAAAAAACATATTTACAAATCCAAATGATATTTTGATTTCAGTGGAATAGAACACTTTTATAATGCAGCTTACGTTGACAAGTTGATACAAAAAATAATCCATCATGATGCAGGTTTTGAAAGTGCCTTAAGTTGTTTAAAATGTTTGAATACTATGAGACACTATAATGTGGAAATATTGAACTATGTGTGTGCTTCATATTTTGAAAAAATAACTATGAAAAATGAAAATATTGCAAACCTTAGTGGAAAACTTTCAATAATAATATCAGGACTGGCACATACAAATTATAAATCAATGTTTTGGAATGAAATTGAAAATTATATCATGAATAATCAGAATTTATTGAAATATAATCACGAGACATTGTGTATTTTAGCTTTGAATGCAATTTGCCTAGACTGTTATCCTAATGATATTTTAAATAAACTTTTTGACAGTACTTATGATTTCTCAAAAAATACTTTCCTACATTGGACATTTTCTAAAATATATCAAAAAATAGAAACAAATCAGTCATATAAAGGACCACGACCAACAACATCACAAGTTCAATCAATAAATGAAATGTTTAAGAAAGCTGTTAGAGCTAAAAAAATGTTTCCCTTATTATCTTATCTGAATAAAGCTATCGGTGATCAAGCTTATATAAAAACTAATTTAGGAACAAAGAAATTCCATATAATTGGTGAGTATGTTTTTTGTTTCTAAAGCAACTTTCTTAGACAATATTTAAAAATACAATTTTGCTGTCAGATCATGTTGTGGTTTATGATAAAGATGACCTTCCAATTCATCTAAACTCTGAAATCTACTCAAGTACAAAAATTGAAGATGTAGAATACTTAGAAGACTTCAAAGTTCCTCAAGGAAGCAAAATGTAAATATTCTATTTATTAAGATATGATTAAAAAATATATTATTAAAATTTTTTATTTCATTAAGTGAACCAAAGGAAAAAAAATACTAATTTGGATTTATATTTTTAGATTTGCTATAATCCTTGCACCATCTAGTTGGTATTTCAGAAATAGGAAGCAATTGATAGGGCCCTATGCAGTTTTCAAGACTACATTAGAAAAAATGAATTATAATGTTGTGGATATAAATTTTATAACATGGAAAGAAATACCTGATGAAGAAAAAGCATTGTTCTTATTATCAACAATCAACTCAAAATTAAAAACATCTATAAACACAACTTAATTGAGGAATTATAAAAACTTGTAAAATATTGTAAATATTTAGTACTTTTAATAATTTTGACATTTGTTGCTGAATTATTGTTACATTGAATATTTTCATTTATAAAATAATGTGTACTTTGATAGTTAAATAATATACAAAATAAGTTTTCTCTTACATAAAAGACTATTTTTTTAATAAATACAATTTTTTTAATTAAAATTTCTATGCGCTATTCTAAAATGCTGTAATTAAATTTTTTCTTTAATTTTTTCATAATATCAACATAACATAGGATCTCTGACATTTATTATGATTGTCTCAATTTCGAACGCAGGTGTGTTATAACTAGATGTCTTCGTTGCCTAGCAACTGTTTTGGATCAAGCAGTCAAACACAGAGATAGTTTGCGATGCGCTTTTTAAACACTTTATTATGAAAAATGTGGAAATCGTCGATCATCACAGCATCAGATCGCATTTTTCCCGGTTTAGCTCGTCACGATACAAAAAAGGAATTTTACGATATTGGTATATGCAACTCAATTTGATTATGTTGGCATTTAAATAATTTAAAAAAATTATAAAAAATTTTATCATGAAATTTAGTAAATACAATAATAAAATATAAATATTAATCAAATAATTAAATTATTTGTAATCAATCGAAAAAAATAAGCATCAAAACCACTTATAATTTATTTTTTTTCAATAGGAAATCAGATCAAATCTAATTTACCTCTACAAATAGCTCTGTACTTCAACGTACGCTATTATCCCGTATGGGTATTGTTTCTGATCTACTACTTGGATGCTAAAGTATGAGATTTTCGTCTACATAGTTACTTTTTTATATACGTATAAATAAAAGTAAACTAGATCATAGTTATTGTCGGTGACGATATTTTGATTTTATCTTACGAACTATTTCGAGAAATTTTAACATAAATTGAATTAAACAGAACTTATAGAAAGTAAAATATAGAATTTTTCAGTTGACTTAATTATCAATAAATAAAGTATTCCAAAATAATCCATATAAATACCTAAAAATTGTTGCAGTACTACGATTTATCACAAGTATACAAGTTTGTATCTGTGGCAGCTTTTTTGGCTGTAACAGTTTTGGAAGGCACCAGACTTTACTTAGGATATCTTGGCAATCTCAGTGAAAAAGTAAGTTGAATAAAACTTGAAAATGAATATAGATAAATACATCCAACACTTCAACCATATCTTAAAACAGTATAGATAGGTTAGTGAATGAATAAATTGTCCGTCACGCAGCGTAGTCGCTGGAAAAATTTCTCTCGGGGTCCCTAGAAATTATTCCCCTTAATATATAGTAAAATGATTTTTAGGGACCCCAAAATACATTTTTCAGTGACAAGTGGCAATGCTGCCCGCTGTTGACACCGCGCCCGTCGTTGAACTGCAGACTAATAGCTTTGGCTTTTCGTATGCAGATTTCTTTTATTTGAAAATCACTAATACCATATGTCAGAGCGAAAGTGAAAATTTGAATATCACATTGACTTTAATGCAAAAGTGAATTATTGCTTTTAATTTTTCAGCAACGATTAAAATCAAGTTACATTTTTTATGAAAAACCAAAATTTTTCAACCATTTACGTAGAATGACTTAGATTATATCCAAATACACAGTTTACAAAGACAAATTAGTAATTTGTATTTTTTAATTTGATATTTCATAAGAATATTCAAAGTTCATCTTTAAAATTCGTCATTAGTTTCCAATGCTATTAATTAATCTTACATGAGAATATTTTTACAGATTCCGGAATTAGCTAGTTTTTGGCTGATGTCTTTGCTTCTTCAATTACCATTGGAAATGTTTTTAGTATTCGATCGTAATTCTATTTACTATCCTAATGAAAGAATTTTCAATGTAGTAGCATTCACATTTTTAGCTATTGAAATAGTAACTGGCACATTTGTTTTGAAAAAATCAGCGGATCATCATGCGAAGAGGTTTTACATGGCTCAAATGTACGGAATCGAAGATACGATAAAATAATCTCTAATTATGTTGTAGCTTAATTAAAACTTTATTGCCTTTTTTATGAAAATAACTGTATTTCAGACAATATTTGTATTAAACTTATATAATTAAATAAGGTTACTCGATTGATTACTGATCAACCTTTCATAACTAGATAGATGAATTATCTAAGAGTTAATTTAGATTTGTTACAAACTGTGTTCATTGTACAATGTCTTGAGAATACATATATTTTCCTTCAATCTCCTAGAAAACTTTGCTATGCTTCTCATAATAATTGCTTGATCAATATCATATCCGTTAGCTAAACCTTTTATTATTTGGCTACGTGATGGTGGCGTTCGCATCAACAGCTAGAAAACGTTGATAAAATTTTTGAAAAATTAAGATCCATTACGAAGTATAAATTACATACGGAAAATAGCTGCTGAGCCGTATATCCTTGATATGGCTCTAAGGTGTTTTTATAAGCCATCGTAAAGTTTGCTGTTTGATCTTCGATGAATTTATTAGACTCATAATCGCTGACTATATATTCAAAGTATGTTTGTACCATATGTAACGATCTGGACAGATTTCAAACTAAAATTAATTATTAAATAAGGTAACCAATTGTGAAATATATTATATTTATATTGACCTGCCCAACCATAGCAAAGCATCAGAAACAGTGGTGTTGCTACTATTTTTATCTACTGATATTAATTTTTGTAGCGTGTAGTAGCGATGCTGATTTTCATTGAATTTCTCAGTTAATATCTGTAAAAATATACATTTAAAATATACTACTTCTATTGTTTTGAAATGTGTTACTTACCCCTATATTTGCCTGCATATCATATTTCATGGTCATGAATATTTTTCCAAAGTAATCTATCAGAAATATTTAATATTATACAATAGTAATACATTTGATGAATTTCCCTTAAATTTTCTTTTTACTATTCTTAGCGTGTGACCGTATTATTTATATTAACAAGTTAAGGTTAGCTATTTGTGACTATTTTTTTCACAGAAAAATTAGTTACCTAAAATCTTTACAAGTTCTTTCGAAGTCGATAAAAATTCTTCGCTGGATATTTGACCGTCAAACGGCTTCGGGAACAGTGGTAAGTACATGATACTTTTACTATATTATTCCGCAGTTATGGTCATCATGTTAATATTAGTATTGATATTTTTATCTAAACAATTGCTATCTACGCTAAATCAGAACGATATAATCAATATTTTTATAATGCGAAACTACAGGTATAAGGCGAGCTTTTTCATTGGCGTTATTTTATCAAAATATTACATATACAATTATGTGAAATGAAATTATATGTATAAAATATAATTGCACATTATTTTACTTTGAAGAATTTATACGTAAGCGATTGATCTTGGGTAAAGGTAGGGGATAACACATAAAATTATCCAAACTTAAAATATCTCTGGCTCTCAGCTCTACTCGAAGCAATCCGGGGGGTGCAAGCGACGAGTGTACCACAAGAACTCAGTCTTTTTAAGACAGTAAACGTGATTGCACGTCAAGATGCTTTATTGAGTTTATTATAACTTATGAGTGGTTTTCGTTGCACGCAAAAATAATAGTTAATTTTTAATAATCAACTTCTATTGAAGTGAGCGTTACACTGTCCGCAAAATGGGTAAAAAAGGTGTACCAATTGTGAAAATCGCACCAAATGAAACGTACGGATATGGAGGAGTTAGTTGTTGTTGTTTACGATGCTGCACGTGCATTCATATTGAGTTTCTGAAAACTCTACCAGGAGCTGTTAAATTGGTGGAAGTGGTACGTACGGATAATATCTATAAAATAATCGGTAAAATCCATTGCAATATGCTAAACAAACAAATCTGTTGTTAAATAATTTTTTTTTAATTATAGAAATGGTTATTGCTCTTATTATTAATTATTCTATATTATTTTCAGGTGATAAATTTTATTATTCAAGGACTATTGATTAACTATGGGCTATTATATCATGCACAACTAGGTTCAGCTTTTGAAGCAGCATTGACAACTTCTTCTGCTTGCTTTTTTAACTCTGGGGTTTTACTCGTCTGTTACATGGTTTCTGAAAAATCCTACAAACTAATTCACTCGTCCTATTTTGTAAGATCATATATGTGTACAATATTACGTTGACGTAGAAATAATATGAAACTTATGTGACTTTTTTTCAATATTCAGGAAATTATATTCAACGTTATCGCTTGCTTCATGTGTATGAGCTCGGCTTCTTGTCTTGGATTTGCTACAAAAATGTTTTTATGGCCATTATATGTTATTACGCCAGGATTTGATGTTTTCCCAGCTATGACAGCAGCATATGTAAGTAATTCGTATTTAGTTCCTTTTTCTATTGCCAATTATAAATAAAAAAAGAAAAAATGTATTATTTATTTTGATATTTTTCGTTTAATTTACAGTTCTTAAGTGCAACAGTTGGAGTCATATACGGGGTCGATATTTATCTTGCATTGAGATTGCGCAAAGGATCCTAATTAAACGTGTAATCTTCTTTTACAATTTTTTCAATTTAGAGCGTAGTTCCACTTCTCTTACAGCCTTCCAATCACTTCTTAGATACCAATAATTAAACATTAAATGTAAGTTATGATATTATTTGTAAAGAAATATTTTATATTTTTATACGAAAATCATTTTTTGAATGTAGATACTTGTAGATACTTATATTTTTACTTATATTATGTGATACGAAAGAAAATAAAAATACATTTTCGATTGGAAAAGATCACCCTTTTTATTGTTGGAATGGAAACAAACACTGAGGGAGAGTAACATAGGTTTATTATTATGATCATCTTTTGCTATGGAAATTCGATTCATTTGGTATAGATTAAACTCTTCATTGTAAATGGTTGTTTTTATACTAAATGTCTTCGTAAAGTTTCATTTGATATTATCGTGGATGTGATCGACTGTATCAGTGTTTACATTCTATATATTGTTATAGAGTATTCATTTTATCATAATAATACTGTGAATGCGGATCTCGTTATACAGGTGAGAAATGTTTAATGCCTTGCAGTCGAAAGTCATGTATATTTAATACGACCACATCGTATTTGTTATTTTATCATTGCTTTATCTTAGGCTTTGGACGCTGTAATAATTTGATTGTGGATAAATGCCATTGTCTGTGAAATTTTTAGTTAATTATACGTTTAACTTATGATTTGTGCTTAATTAATGTGCACATATATCTGAATAGAATTGTATTCTATCTTTCCAGACAAATGCACGATTTCATGGATGCGATGATTTTTTATTGCAATCGATTGATTTTTATTTCGGTGCAAGGAAGCGCCATTGGCATTTGATATAACATATTTATTGAAGTGTAAGGTTGGGGTAGCCTCTGAATCGCTTATTTTAAATTATTGGAATGAGAAATTTCATAATTTCCGAAGAGGCTCGTGACTAGAATTTTTACACAAACAACAATTCTACGTTTTCAAATACTTATAAAAATACTTTTGAGTGTAAAGCTTAATGAAAACAATATGTATAGTATAGGAGTAAAATATCATAACAAGAATACATTTTATTTTAGTATAATAATTTAAAATTAATATATCAAGCTAACGAACACATTTGAATTTATTTCATTAAACATATATCTCTAAATAATAATTTGATTCAGCTCTTTTATTACAAATATTTAGCTAAATAATCTTTAGCCTCCTCGGGTCGAGTACATCTGATAGGAACTCCTACCTTAGAATTTAATATCTCATGTGTACTCGATTTCATCACAATAAATATATTTAATGTATTGCCTTATTATAATGAGAGCGAAAAGCGAAAGCACTTAAATCTCAAAAAATTGATTCTCTTTTTTCTGTACATTGCAGAATATTGATGCATGCTACTTCACCTTCTACTGAACAATTATGCCATCATATAAAAGTATCTAAATGCTACTTTCTTTTTGCACTTATAAAATAAAAATATTACTACACTTTTTCTAGTATTTAATTTCTCGATTTGAACGAAAATCACTACCAATAAAAAATTAGCAGATAAAAAACCAATTTTTTGAGATCATATTTCATAAATATTTTTTGTTGTTGCTCTAAGCACTTTGGTAATGATAAGCGTACATGATATATTTTACGCGATACAATATTCAGCAAAATATATATTTTTCCGAAAATTGTGGAAAAGGTTTCAAGAAAATTTAGAGCGACAAAAAAATTAAATTATAGTTAAGCATTCTATCTTGAATTTCAATAAAAAATTATATTTTGCTGACTATTTTTATTCTATTTTATATTGATAAATGTAAAAGAGACCGCTGTCCTGCGCAGATATACGAGTGAAATGAGGCGTATCAATGCACAATTGTATTAGTTCGTGTAATAAATACAAAATTTTGCTCCAAAAATGCCCAATGGATTGGATGATCGGTCGTTTTTTGAAAAAAAATAATAAACAAACAAACAAACAAGCAAACAAACCAACGGAATACAATTAATCAGTTTCATCTTATACTAGAACGGCCTTGGAGATCACAGGATTACACGATTTTAAGCGAATGTCTCGCCGATAAAGAATATGCGTGTCCCTAGAAGGCCGTTGGTAAGGGATGCTTGAGGATGCTACCAAGTGAATCCTCTGCGACGAGAGTTAATGCAGTGACGTAATGGGGTGGTGGCGCTGGGACCATTGCTTCCAGGGTCAAATGGTTGCCGGGAAATTGGCGCGATGCCACGACCATCCCACCCAATGACTCTCGCAACTCGATTATTCGCACGCCGTGTCGTGACCTCACGATGTTCCTGAAAATTGCAAGTATTTTCTTTATATTTGGTTGCTTTGTTGTAAAATTATAAGAAAAGAAAATAGCGTGGCAAATAAAATTGATATTCAGCGTCTGCCAAAAGCAAACTAACAATGTTTCTTACATCGAAATGAATTATTAGTGAAACTGTAAGCACGAAGTGTCACAGACAAGAAAAATTAACAAGTTGAATGGAAGTCTCTGCCAACTAAGAATAAAGAAAGGAGAAGAAACGTAATCCTCCGCTGAAGATTATGACTGACCTCTTTCCGTCATACTTCAAATCGTTGAGGTTCTGGCACTTGGCATTGTCACTATCCAAGTTAAACCAGCGATGATGTGCCAGCAGTGCGGCACAACTACTGCCCCAAAAAGTTCGATCCGTCTGCGAGGGAGTCTCGTTACTAGCTGTCATACTTTTAGCGAACGATCTATTTAATTCGGGACTCGTTGGTGCCGACAATCTTCCGGGATTCCGTGCAGTCGTTTGCTCGAATCCCAGTGTATTTGGCCTTGCTGTCTCCGACAATAATCTTCCTCGCCTTGGGCTTGCAGCTTGTACTGGCTGTTGTACCGTGACAGTGACACTGAGCGGGCGACTTATTGCGACGGTCGTGTGTTGTGGCACTCGTCTTACGGGATTACGATTTGCATCGATACCAGCTGCACCGACGAACACGCGGTCAACGTAGTCGAACCCTCGACCCATTATTCCATCGCGCGTGTGTCCGAGGTCGAAGGTGTGGCCGAGTTCGTGTAGTACCGAGCCGAGTGTCGTCGCGAGACAACCACCGTGAGTACCTCGGTAATTGCTGTCATCCATTAATTGCTCTGTATCGATTATCGTCGTGTCGAGGAAGCGAGACAAAATCTGCACAGTCATAATTGAGGTTGCATCAACAAAAATTAACATGTTACAATTTTTAGCAGCTGATTTTTTCATTTAACGGATCAAATTTCGATTTGGCTCTTAAAATTTATTCATTTATTTTCATTTTACTTAATGATGAAAGAATATGAATCATTTTACATATCGTGTTTTACTTTAGACTAACGGTGGGTGAACTCAAGAGAGAAAATAGCATGTTTAGATGAAAAATGTCAACTCACAAGTTTGTAATATTTCGCGATGAGCCTTCGCTGTTTCGTTTCTCATTATCATGTTAAAATTATTAGATATATTATTAATAGCAATAGTTTTCTACTATAGAATTCGCTTAAAAATGTGCCACTACCAAGGATCGTTATTCAGCACACTCGTGTTCATTTACTCCGAAGTTACAACTCGTTTGGCACGATTGTTTAAAGTTTTGACTCGAGCTCTCTCATGTATAGGGAGAGTCACACAGCAGAGAGCTTAAACTCACAGTTTGTAGTACTTTGTCCTGCCGTAAAATTTAGAGCAGCGCGCTCGTACGAATTCAGTTTACACTTTTAGTATATTTGCATACTGTACAAGCTTGAAATGCAAGGCATCGATTCAGTCAGCCATCTACTTTAGCGAGTAGTTCTTTTTCCGCTTGCGCGCTGTATGTTTAGATTTGAAACTTCGAAAATGCAAGTACACCTCACGAATCAATATGTTCTTATTTCTTGAGAGGGAGAAAAAGGGAATGAGAGAAAGAGAGAAAGCGAGAGAGAGCAGTATAATTTTCGTGAAAGACTAAAATTTTAACTAAAATTATTAAATAAATTTTTGTTTGGTGCTAATTTGGTCTGCATTTTAATAGATGAGCTAATTAAACTTATTAAATGAAAATTTACTGTTAGCGATATTACGTGCGTTGTTCAAGGTTTTTTACGATTTATTTTCAGTCGTTATCCAACGCAAGGTATCATCGATCGATTATGTAAGCAGGAAACTATTGACGGTAATACGATGGAGCATTATCGTCATATCGCTAAGTAAATATTATAGTGATTCAGTTATAAATATCATTAATACCCGCATTATGTGCAGTTGCAGTCAATATATATCACACCAAAAGAATAAGAACGGAAATCGATTTTTCAAAATAGCGTCATTCAACTTCTTATCATTGCCAATGTTCTAAAAATAAGCGCACTCAATGAAACATTACCTGAGCCATGCAAGTTGGCCACGTGTGCAGACAAGCCGACCCAAAAAGTGCCAATCCACCGCCACCCAAAGCGGCATGACCCTGCGTCCTTGCTAATGTATCCTCGTGTGTTCGAGGACTTGGTGCCCCTCTGTATCTTGTGCAGGATAAGAATGCCAGATACTTTCGATCTTTTGATGCCAATGGTCCAGTCATCAGTTCACGACCGATCAGTTCCCAAAGTTCGCGCTGCGACATTGCTCTCGCACGATCCACGTGTAATACACTGTGCATTACAAGACATTCGGGCCCGTCGAGGTCACGTTCCAACTGGAAGGTCTTACGTCCATGTCCAGCTTCGCGTAGCTTTTCAGCTGTCAGGCTCTGCAGCAGACGTGCACCCAAGCCAATTCGGGTTGCTGCACTCTCCGGTGAACGGTCTTCTGTTCGTGGACCCTGACAGATCACATTTTTCAAGATGTAGTATACCCCAAAAAGTATTTTAGTCGGTTAATTAAATATTTTTTTTTAAGGAATTCGATGATTTCACATTTTGGAAAGTCGCAGGTCAAGCATCGTTGTTTTACACAATGATTTTTAGTTAGGGTATTCCGAGAATTTTTTGAAGGACTTTCAATTAGAAAGCAAAGACTTTTTGTACCTCGAGAGCTATTCGAGTGGTAAAATGTTTTATAGCGTAACTTAAACAATGAGGATTCGACATAGATTTAAACGAGTATGAAAAAAAGGTTATAACGTACTGCGCTGTTCTTCGACAACTCTCTCATTAGAACCCCTTTCTAAGAATGCCTAATATGTGTATTTATAGAATATCCATACATAATTATCTGGTCGCGTTATTTTGCGAGTGTTCTGCGTATAACGATAAATATTTTAATGATATTCTAGCGTTTTTACACAAGATGGTCATCAATTTCAAAATTAAATATTTTTCTTTCAAAAATTCATGAACGTGAATTTATTCACGTGGGTTTGAAATAACTAACGAAATAAAAAATTCAACAATTTCACGGTTAAATTTTACGATAAAAGGATTCCATGCAAAACCTCGAAAACGGAAAATGCATTTCGCATTGTTGTGTATAAGAGTAATTCGTTTCTTTGGTTCTCCATTGTTCCATTACATTTATTGGGCAATTCAATGAATAACTCACGAATTTAATTAGCTTACTCAAGAGTTCATTCCAAATTAATATATTTAATAAAGTCGCGTTCTCTGTTATCGCACAATCCTTCCGTCTACTGTGTATACCTTCGTTCCAGCGTATATTAAATTTTCCGGTTGGTTGAGCTTTCTTGCCAAGTTTCAAATAAGCGTAAAAAATAAGAGCACAAAATTTATCTAGGGTGAAGCGCATCCAAAACGAATTATATTTGGCAGTAACGCGCCAATGCTGCCAGAATATTTATCGGGGAAGAGAGGGAAAAACACGACGTCCGCGTTCTTCATTTGCTCGCACGCGAGAAATCAATACACACCAGCAGCATCATTGGCAATGAGGTCGGTATGATAATGATACTTTTACCTGAAAGTAACCATCGTGACCGGCGCAAATCACGTACACAGGTGTAACCCTTAATCGTGTTGATCTGGGCTCGTAGACAAGGCTAAATTTACGTTTGAAACCACCAGCTTCGAGTTCCAGTCTGTTCACACCACGTTGTAATTCAACGAGAACACGGAAATCACCAGCTACTACCGGCCACTCGGACGTTGGATTTTTGTGGCCACCGTTTCGTACTCGAATGTAAGTGCAACCTAGTGGTGCTTTACCACGAATGAGTGCCAAACTGTACGTTAGAGTTTCACCCTCAAGAAGATTCTTTATATGGATGCCGTCATGCTGATTGCCGTTTGACGATGTTGTCGACATGAATGAGTTGCTGCGGTGATGCAGATGTAAATTGTCTGTTAGAGATGTATCCGCCAACACCTGCAAAGAATATTTTATATCGATTTTGGCGGAGCTTTGCTAAAGTTATTTCAACTTTTCTTTTTTATTTCAATTGATCTATCTGCATCCGAGATAAAAGTTCTTGGAAGCGAGTTCTATTGATTAACAACTTGAGACTGTTCGCTAATCTACTGAAGATTAGATTATTTTAAGTTCAGTTTGAAACTCAACTTAAAGCGAAATAATTGAAATTGCATATTATGCCAAGCTGAACGGAAATAATGTAATGTTAACTTTTTACACTATTGACAAAGTAACTTTTAAATGAATTCAATGAACATTTGTGTTACGTTTCGAAAACATAACAGTAATATCATTTAATTTAAACATTTTTATTTCTGCAGATATACAAAAAATTATTCTAATTTTATTCCAACGGTAAAGGGATTACTGCTAACTTTTTAAAATACAAACGATCTCATTAGCAATAGTTTTATTATTGTTTTTTTGAAAGCTCTAGAAACTTTTTTATCGCTTAAGCACGGAGAATTTCCGTAAGGTGCTGCAACCTAGTGGTGGTCGACGCTGGCTCAGAACTCTGTCTCGTGTGCCTCCACCCGCCTGCGACGGAGCATCACTTAACGGTACATCGTAAACACATACCCGAATAGGCTTACAAGGCTATCGAAAAATTAATCATAGCAGCAGATGCAATGACAGTAATAGTACTCTGCTTGTCCTCGATAAACTTGCAAGCTCACAGGAGCACGTAGTTCTGCATGGCAGAGTAAAGCTCTCGTTTTATCCATTGGGACAAAATCGATACGCTTGGTGAAAACAAAAAAAAATGTTCAAAGATAATTTAACAAGCAGCCCCGAGCTCGTGCGCTTTGAAAAAGCCGAAGCTCGTTGTCGTCCGCTCGTATGATACTTTCTCATCCTCGTCAAACATCCCTCGCGCACGACCCAACCCTCTCTACGCTAATTTACGACGCCTAAACTTAACGAATCAAGCAAAAACTCACCATGATGACGGAGCGTGTGCGCGAAGTGTGGAGGCTACGCGTTATTCAATAGAAATTGCCGGCAGCGACGGCAGAGCAGCAGCTCCCGTATGTTCAGCTGCCAGCTGTGCTGCTCTGGTCTCTGTAGTACTCTCGTTGCGGACACCAGGCGCAGTTCCTACCGCTGCGCTACCGACGGATTGCCAACGTACTACTCGACGCGCCTGTGCTCTAAAAGCGTTTCCACGCGACCTGTATATATGTGCGGTTGTATGTATGTATATCGCTGGAGGGTTCAATTTTTCCCCCTCTGAGGGCTTACATTTTTCAACGACTATTTGTCTGAAGTACAAATGATTGTGTTCACGTTATCCTCTCCCCGAAAAAGTTACTCTAAAACTTCATACAGCTTCTGTCGTGGCTTCTTCTAGCTGGAAAATTATATTTTTAATTTTATACAAATCATTTCGGATTCTTAATTGTATCTCGTTTTTTCAATTTGGGATCGGTAGAGACTGATAAAGAAGAACATTCTCGAGGCGATAAATTACTTTGCAGCTCTCCGGAAAAGGCATACAACTCCACCCGACCGATATGCGCTCCCTTAAATAAACAACGATGGTGCACTTACCATCCGTTTCGAATCACGATTTATCAAGATTACACATTGATTCATTATGTACAACTTCAATTTCATCAAAACAGCCATTAGGAGCTTGAATGAAGGTTGAATAAAGTATCTTTCTATGAAAGATTCAGTGAAATGTCTGCAGATCGATTTCTATCGATGAACAGGCTTGCGTGCGCGACACTGTTCGTATAATTAATGATCAATTTGCGTCAGAGACTATTTAGCTGTTCGCGTTGTATCGTTGAGAAAAGATAGATGCGGAAAAATTCAGTAGAAAATCACCGAGTTTGGTCAGCCCGACAACGTGTATTTTTCAATTTAACATGTAGAGAAGTGTCTAGTATACGAGTGATTTCACAGCAGCTAAAAATAGAACAAATGCCAAAAGAAAATTCAGGTCATAAATCATAGCTCATCGCAGCAATTTCCAACGTAATATTCTCCTTCCGTATGTGTGCTTTCTCTCTCTCTCTCTCTCTCTCTCGCTGCCGCCGCAGTATAGTGGCGCATGTCTCCCTCCTCCCTCGATGAGTAAGCGTCCCCTCTGCTTTCAACCCTTGCCAATAATTCGTAGCTGTCTCTGTGTGCGGGAGTTCGCGCCACCAGGGCGCCCCGCATGCCGAAACTTTATCGCGCGTGTCACCGCCCCCTTTGCCAACCATTGCCAAGCCCTACTAGCTAGGTCCGTTTGTGCATGTATGGCTTTCATTTGTTGTTGTATGCTGTCCTTGTTGTAGCTCGAGCAACTTTATAGCGGTCAATTTATGTCTATCGGAGCTTTGTTTACAGTATAGCCCTTTGAGTACCGTAATAACGCGCTAATTATGTTGTCACTTTGCTTGTTTGCTTGCCAAGGTTGTAGTTTTACTTCGATAAAGAGCCTTTCGCGTCTTAGTGATGACCATTTTTATGTTAACATGTTCACTGGCATGTCTGTAAAATGTGAGTCGAAAAATGTTTATTAACTTGCGTCGTTTCGTGTAATGACATCGATAGGACATTTAACTTTAAATAAGTTGTGCTATTTGCAAATGTTATTAAATAATTTTGTTAGAAAAGACGTTATTTAATAGCACTTGCAATTGCAGAAATTATGGAAATAATAATTGGCGTTGACTTTAATATTTAGAAATTTGGTAATTCGAAGTAGTGAAGGTATCACTTTAAGTAAATAAACAAAATTCAATTAGCCTCCTTCGACACACGTGTCGAGCAAATTCAACTAATAAAAGAATAAGGAAGTGAATGAATGGAATCAACTGTAACAGTATAATACAGAGGTAAGAACACACTGCGGTTATCTCAACAAAGTTAGAAAGATTACACAAGGCTTCGCGGGGGAGAAAAACGTCACGTCCTCGCTTCAATCTAACACTGGCTAATTAAGTAACACTCTTAAACCGCTGTACGCTGGTATATCAAGCGCACGAGTCTTTCGTCGGCTTAACGTTAAGACCTTGGGCTTGAGAAATCGATTTCCCGGCATACAATTTGCCGGAACTTGGAACTCGTTCAGTATAAAGGTTTTTTATTGGTTTATCATATCAAACATCAGAAGTATCACAGAAACATGAACAATCCATCAGCCGATGCAAACTGATACGACTATTTATATGTTGTTGTATCGTGAAAAGTGAGTTTTGGATAGTGTACATCATTTTTTGTTTATCCGAGATGTACTTTACTGACCGACTTACTTCCAAATAGTTAAAGTCAATAAATGATTGATTGCTGGCGCGCGTTTTCTAGTGGTTACTAAACCGCGAAAATCGAAGAGAAAAAGTGTAAACAGAATTACCGACTCGCGGTTTGTCGATTTCTCCACGTCGCGCCTCGCGAAGCATCGTCCCATCGCGCGTTTTCTACGCGTGTTTTTCGAAACAAAACATCGCGGCAAAACATATACATACGCACGGCACGGCGGAAGCTCCTTGCAGCGGTGCGAGTAAAGTGAATGCAACACGCTGTTACCGCCGGTTGTTGAACTTCTCCTTGAGAGAGGCGCGCGCGCGTGAGTGGAGAGAGAGAGAGAGAGAGAGAGAGAGAGAGAGAGAGAGAGAGAGAAAAGAAGTTTCTATGGGGGGAGGGGGGCTTTCATTGGCAGCTAATCTTCACGCGAAGGGAAAATCGTGCCAGTAGGTCAGTGCAATGTCTTGCGCTCGCGCTCGCTCGCCCGACAAGAGTAAATAGGTGCACTTTTCTCCTCGCGCCTATGCACTTTCCTGTACGCAGGGAAACTGTTTCTCTTTTCGCGACGGGACCCGTCGATCTTATGGCTCGAGCCTTTCTTGCCTTCTTTCTACTACTTTTTTTGCTCTTCATTCTTTTACAAGTGAGACTTGTTCATTGCTCCGAGAGAAAACAAAAATCGGAATCTCTATTGACGATGCCACACGTACTATGTCTGCAAATGTATACGTACTTTGCGTGTCGACCTGAGATTATATCGTGTGTTTGCGTACATACTTTCTTTCTTTCTTTTTTTCTAGTTTAATTGGGCTTGATGCTGCTGGTTTTTCGAGATTATCTTTACGACTGTGAAAATTGCAGTACAAGGGTGAAATGGCGAGTTGTAAATTTTCGATTGTTTAGTAAGTAGTTTTATGAGGTCGCCGCTGTTATTTCAATTCTACTTCGTAGTACGGAGGTATAGTAAGGATATGATTTCCAAACTAAAGCGAAGCATTTATTGGTTCGATATTTTATACTTTTGATAATTATAATTAGAATGTTTCGTAGTTAAATGACATAAAAATTGCTATTTGTCATAGTCATTTAAAAGTAATGTGTAAATTATAAATTAGAATTCAATATCACCTAATAATAAGTAGTAATATCCTTGTTTTAGTCAGACAATTGAAAATTCTTAGCTATATGTTTAGTTTATCTAATGTGATTTGAATAAATTATAATCACGTTAATGTTACAATTCTATTCATTATTTGTATAATTTTGAGCGTGAATTAAAACAATCATGTACATAAAATTCTATTTGATATTTTTGGAAAGTTCTTATATCATAATAAACGTTGACTTACATTTTGCACTGAAAGAGATATATCAAGGATACAGCTGTACACATATTAATCAAGCGTTAATGATAACGTTTAGCTAAAATATCTTGTAATTGTTAAAGGGAGGGAAGATGTTGCAGTTTTAAGGAATACCGAAAAAATATACGCTTTGCATTTCCAATGTTTCGACTCCTGACATTCATCCAAATAGCTCATGATCAACGAACGTTCTAGTAACAAAAACTGTGCGACTTCACTAAACTTTCCTAATATTTCACAGGAAAAATTGAGAAAGTATATTTTAATGGATCTCGATGAAAAGTTTTTTGTAACACGGAATATCGTCTAAGTATTTATCTACTAGCGCACGCGCCGCAGCAAGACAACTTGTTGCAAGTGCGTCAAAATAGGCCTATTACAAAATTACTATTGGATTAAACGGCCATTACGTCAATAAAAAAGTGCGACTTAATTGAGCAGCGGGCAGTCGTAGAAAACAGAGATAACTGTCGCGGTTAACCTGCGCGTCCATGATCAATCTGTCAATTAATTATCACTTGCAACGTAAACCCCCTTCTTGTGCATACGTCAAAGTGTACAAGAATAGAGAGAAGAAGAGGAAAAGACGAATAATCGGTACTATTAGAACCGAATTGCGCGCGAGCACAAAGAGTGTCAAGGTCAGGCTCATGCGAGGTGCACACACGCGAAAATATAACCGGCGCGCGCGAGTCGCCAGTACGATTCCGCACCTGGTACAATACTTCGCGTGTCATCGGCTGATCCTCTACTTGGTACGCCGATGTACCGACCGGACTCACGCTCCTTCTACATTTTCTGCCGGCTGTTTTGCCACGAAAGTTTTGGCCTTGCGATTAGCTTTGTTTGCGGCACGGTTAATCTTCATGAAAATGTTTACAAGCTCGACTGATTTTGAGAATCTAATCGTGTCAAGAGACATCGCCAAGAGTTATCAACGACGGAGTGTATTCTGCCAATATTTTGCAAATATAATTTTGTCTTTGATTGCGGTAGAAAGAGACACGGGCGAGATAAGTAATTGCAGTAACGTGTGCAACACGGTAGCGCTACAAATTCAAACACTTTTTCACAGATATACAACTCGTGTGGCGAAAACTCTTGCCAAATGCGAGCAAAGACGAATGCGGAAATAATTTCTCTCAGAGACTCTTTCCAGCATGTTGAACGCAAGAGCGTCCGTCGCTATCTCCGGCAAAGATGCTGGTAAAATCCATAGATAGGAAAGGGTGCGATTGTACATCTAATTCGAAAAAAAAATCGGCGCACGGCATCGACAGTCGTGATTTCGCGCGTACTACTTTCTACATCACTGACCGCGGTGTCGTGCATCCCCGGCGCGTCGCGAGGCAGTTTTCCCCTGCGATCGACGACTACTACGAGAGAGGAAAGTGCGACGAGAGCGCGTGCAAGTCGCGGGGTTAGTGGCCGTGAAAGTGGACTCCCTGCAAGTGGGTCGGGCATTTTTCACAAAAAATCAGCTCGAGCTGC